GTGAGAGAGTATCCCGTGATGCTTGCGACCAAGAAAGGTAAAAGGCGACGTCAACCACCTGTTTCATACCTCATGCGTGCAGATGCATAAAATTCAAATCGTCATTGGCCCAGCTATCTAATTCGCCAATCTCATAGCCCAGTCCGTTCCGATGGGGGCAGTGGAGCGCCCCGAGATAACGGCCGGATTTGCCGACTTCGACGCCGGCCATCGGGATCTTGTCACCGTCACCAGATTTAACTTCTATGGCAATCGTATTGTCACCGCTTCGTCTGATCACCGCATGAAAGTTTGGGATCTCAAAGATGGCCAATGGCAACTGATAGACACCTGGCGCGCGCACGACGCTGAGATTCGCGATGTATGTCCCCAAACACGCTAGGGCGCAATTCCGCCATTGCGGCTCATATACTAAACTACTATTTCAGGCCACGTGGAATGGTCCTTTCACAGGCCAACATATTGGCAGTGTTGGAGAGGATATGAAGTTGAAAATTTGGCAAGAAGATGTAACCCAGCCACCAAACTCAGGACGGCGTTTCAGGTCGATCTTTCGCATGACAGCACCACAAAGACATCCATTTGTATCACTCGACTTTCGCAACATTGACCTGGAGTCATGGCTGGCTGTGATAACACGCGATGGCTACCTCATGATTATGGAACCTGTCAGCCCTGATAGCCTTGCAGATTGGCAGACTGTTGACCAGTTCCGAGTCTGTACCGCCCCCGAACGCGGGGAGGAAACAAGTTTCAAAGTCCAGTTTCATCATGATCCTACCGACATCACTCACACTATCTTGCCGGATTCAGATCGGAAAAGCCTGTCGTTAATTGTAGCTGCCATGGACACCGTCAAGGTCTATCGCACTGACGCAAACCGACGATTCTACCATGCAATTGAACTGAATGGGCACAGTGGACTTGTGAGGGACATTTCCTGGGCCAATGGTTCCGTGCGTGGCTACGATCTTATTGCGAGCGGCGGCAAGGATGGTTTTGTCCGCATCTTCGAAGTGTACACAATGCCAGCTGGCCAAGCACTACAGACTAACGGCCGAAAGACGGAACGTCGCATGCACTCACAGTCCCAGTCCCAGTCGCAGCCACAATCGCAGTCGCAGTCACCGTCGCTCCGAGCGACATCGCAGTCCGGGATCGGCTCTGCTCTAGCAAGCCGTGTGCCTGCATCGGTGCCTGATCGCCAAGCCAACGGAGACTCGCAATTTCGGCACTCGTTCAAACAGGTGGCTTGCATTGGCACTAAACACCTTGATGTGTGGCAGGTTCAATTCTCGTTCTCTGGTGAGTATTTCTTGGCTTTATCTACAACCCTAAGTTCTTTTCGCTAATGCACTACTAGGTGACTCGTTGATTTCCTCTGGAGACGACGGGACAGTTCGGTTCTGGAAAAGGTCTCTGTCTGGAGAATGGCTCGAGTTCGCCGAAACAGATATGGCTTCTCGGTGATCTTCTTCCCAGCACCGGAAGACATTATTGGAAATTTATGAGAAATGCCCAATACTTGTCTCTTTCCGCCCTTTTTTCCCTTCACAATCAATGATACCCTTTACATTTGATTTCTGCATACTGTCATATCTGGTAGTATTTCTGACACTAATTAGTTGAATTCAAGGTTGATGTTTTTGTCTCAAACTATCTCCAGTACACGAGGAAAGAGCGATGGATGGACATGCCGTAGTTGGTCACTTGACTTGATTCTCGAGCCAAACCCACTCTCAACCTTCTACCCTCACCTAGACACTCATCACCTATAACCCTTCATTATCTATATTCATTGTTAGTTCATCATGGCTATCGGTCCGACCATTGGCACAGGCTTGTTCATCGGCGCCGGCCAGGCCCTCGCGGTCGGCGGACCTGCCTCGCTGCTCCTGTCGTATATAGTCCTATCCTTTCTGACCTTTGCCATGACCACGAGCGTGGCCGAAGTATCCACTCACATGCCATCACAACATGGGACACTCGTCACCAATGGTTACCTATACATGTCAAGCAGTCTGGCATTTGCTTCAGCATACCTCCGCTGGTACACTCTGGCTATGTTCGTTCCATACGAAATCACATCGGCGATGGTCAACCTTGGCCTGTGGAAACCAGGTTCCGCGGTCGCAGTCAGATTGGCTATCATCACGATCATCGTTGTCGGGTGCAACTTCTTGCCGGAAAGACTCTTCAAAAGCTCCGAGCGATTGTTCACTACGATCAAGATTGGCACAATGGTAACCCTCTTTGTCCTCTCCCTAGCTTTGGGTCTTGGAGGTGTGGGTACGCAGCCCTCATGGGGATTCAAATACTGGAAACATCCAGGCGCCATGAACGAGTACCTAGCTCGCGGTCTATGGGGACGAGTCTTGGCTTTCTTCCAATGCTTACTCGATGGCTCCATTGCTTTCGCATTTGCCCCTGAGCTGATTGTGCACCGGGCGGAATTGCCAGCATCACTTGTGCCAGCATCACTTGGCGAAACAGCGATGATAAGCGCCGGCATCCCAGGTAGAGTCACATCCGACGTTGCTCAAACCGCATTTCCGTATATCCTGAGCTCGTTGGCCATGGGTGTCATGGCTCCTTTCAATGATACGCGTCTGACAAACAACGGAACGGGCTCCGGGTTTTCTCCTTACCTGATCGGTCTCAAAGATGCAAATATTCAAGTTGTGCCAATGATCGCGACGATCGCAATCCTGCTCTCTGCAGTGGCTTCTGGGCGATCCTTTTTGTATCTCTCTTCTCGCACACTTTGTGCAATGTCGGAGCTCGGCCATGCGCCCTCGGTATTTTCAACCCGCAACCGTTGGAATGTTCCACATTTGGCCGTTGTGGCGTCTGCCTTGTTCTCCTCTCTTGCCTTTGTTTCAGTGAAGGTGTCGAGTCCAATCATGAACATCTATCTCCTTCGTCTCGTCACGAGCGCCGGTTTCATTTCCTCGCTTGTGTCATGCATCATCTATCGTCACTTCGATCGACGGCTCATAATGAATGGAATCGCCAGGCGGCATCGTTTCTCTTTCCAGCCGTTTGGCACATATTTCGGGATGGTCATCAGTACCATACTGCTGCTGGGCGGCGGGTTGTGGGCAGGACCCAAGGGACATCTGATTGGGTCTCGAGGTGCCAGACTGATCATTTCATACATCAATATCGGTGTATTCGTCCTTCTGTTCTTAGTCCATCGATTCCAAGACTTTGTTCCTGTTGTCAAAGTCGAAAGACATGTTGATATGACTGGAGGCAGACATGGCGACCGCGAAGGACCAAAAGAATCTCGGACACAGAAGACGTCCCCACCTCGTGCGAAACTTGACGCAATCCCAGAGGGTTCCGGGACATTTGAGTTGCGACTCAGCCAGACCTTGTTCGCTGAGCCTTGAGTGTACCTGATAATACGATGGAGATTGATGCGAGGATACAAATGGTATAGAAGTGGAATCGGGATGCCTGCGACTCTTGTCTGTTATTATTAATTCATTTCAAGTTCAAGAATTCATTGTTTTTTCTTGTTATCATTTTCATGAAAGTTATCCAAGGTAAGGTTAGGAGCTATATATAGTTCCGGAGAGAAAAAGAGAGTAATAGAATACAATACCGAAACCGGACAATTCAAACTTCTCCTTTGTAGTGGCAAATGGCGCCAAATCACCAGTCATATCGGAATCCTACAAGCCCCCCTTTTAACCACTTCGGAAACTCCCCTTCTTTTTCCTTCTCCGTTTTCATGTTTTTTATATATCCTTGTCGTACAAGAGCAGATGACTTTTTGCCCCTCTTTGATATTCCCTCCCTCTTCCAAGCATTTTTCACCCGCTTTTCCCCATGTTACTTTTTACTATGCTTCTTCATACTTCACTTATACTCCCTGGATACTTCTTCGGCTAACTTCAAACCTCCCATTGCAACCTCTAATACTCCCCGTAGGTAGCGCAGATCGCCTGTTCTTTGCATTCTCACGGAATTCTTTCCCGAGCCGAGTCCGTAAGAATTCCTTTATCCTTCCTCAAGAAAATCTCCGTTTCCTAAGAGGTTGAAAGGACAAGATCACAGATCCAGGGGGTTTCCAGCACATTCAAGACCCATATCATTTTTTGGGGATCTTCAGTTTGATACCGATATCTCGCTTTACTGCATGAACAGGCCTGGCTTTTATTATAGCCCAGTGGAAGGGCCAATAGGACCCTCGAACCATTTTGAACTGAGGGTATAGCTATTGTTCATTTTTCTTTCATATCAGTTTCCTACTCATCCATCTAGATGCTAACCAGTCTACGGGATGCCTAGGGCATCCAATGACATTCCCGTGACTTGCCCCACTGCATTGAATGACGCTAGCCCCAACAGGGGGCTAGCGTATTTCCAAGGCTGAGAACAGTCAGTTTTTTGCATACCAATATTACCATACCAGTAATCTTGGAATTCAAAAGATTTACAGGAATTTGCTCAAGGTGGTCTCTGAGCATAATATGAAAGAGAAAAGAAAAAGGAGCCCTTGTTTACGGGTTTTCGGGTTCCTCGAAGCCCTTTCCAAGTCTCAAACCCTGCGCTAATCCCCTTCCTCCTTCGCACTTGGTCTCTATGCCTGCCCGGACGGCCCATTCTCTGCCTTAGGCCCCCGTAGCCTCCTCCTTCCTCTGTCTCCAGTTCCTCAAACTCACTCTCTTTTTCCTCTCCTTTCCCCTACCCTCTCTTTTTTCGCGCTTTTCTCCCTTTCTTCCTTCCTTTCTCTCCTTTAACATTTGCGCCAACCTCTTTTAATCTCTTCCGACTATCGATTCTCCGACTTTACACCCCCCCTTTCGACTTCCTTCTTGTGACCGCACCGTCTTCAACTTTCCAACGCGTCCACTGTCCAACGAGACGGGATTGGAAGGCTATACGACCACGAGAAGAATTGATATGCGACTTGAATAGGACAGTCTGGCTACGCCTCTGTCGAGAAAACATCATTTTGTCTTCGCCTGAGAGGGGGTTATCTGTCGGCGATGACAGATACCTCCTCCCTCGCCATCACGCACGCCACAACGGATTCCTATCCGGTCCACGCCCATCGCGGCTCCCCTGCCGCCGTCGACGGCGCCGCCTCTGACTCCGGCGCACCCGATGAAGAACCTTACACCATCAAATGCATTTGCTCGTTCGATGAAGATGATGGCAACACGGTCTTCTGCGAAGGGTGCGAGACATGGCAGCACATCCTCTGCTACTATCCGGATAAGAAAGTACCAGATGTGCACAACTGTGTCGACTGCGAGCCACGGCCCCTTGACAACCGTCGTGCCAACGAACGACAGCGGCTGCGGCGGATCCGAGAGAAAAGCGAGGACGGTGACCGGAAGTCAAGGAGGTCTGGTCCCAAAACACAGAAGAGAAAGTCCAATGATGCCGATGTGAATACATTCGGTCATGCACGACATGATTCGGGTTCCCGTGACCAGCCACCGTCCAAGAAAGCAAGAGTGTCTCGCCGCCCATCGGTTTCAACAGGTGGTGTTTCGGCTCCCCGGGTCTGTCGACTGAGTCGCGAAACCGTCGGTCCTCCACATCGGTTGCGATGAGCCCAACGGGTATCCCTGGCCCTCCTATCCCTCATTACTCGGACGAATTTCTCTCTCTTTACGACCGCGATGATCAATTTGTTGAATCGAAGACTATTCTCAATTACGGCGTGGATTTTGTCAATGAAATTGTTGCATGGTTGAAGGACCCACAGATCTTGGCGCGAGTTGCCGATGGAATCAGTGTTGAAGACTTCGCCAAACGATCTGAAGAGGCCATGGATCGGTCTCGCTGGCCCTCATTGACAACGGAAACCATCACGGACTCGACAATTGAGATCGGTGGTAAGCACCCAATGCACAAGATCTTGAAAACAAAGGATCCTGTTCAAAAGGATGATATTGTGGGTGAAATCTTTGGCAAATTAGGCCACGTCAAGGACTACAAAAAGCTCGACAGCAACCGATGGGAGGAATTGGGGCACGCCATGCCGTTCGTGTTCTTTAACCGGCAGCTCGACTTGTACATCGACAGTCGTCAGGAAGGAAACGAGCTTCGCCACGTCAGGCGGTCATGTGATGCCAACGTTTGGTTAAAGATCTATATCACCAATGGCCGACAGTACCATTTTTGTTTCGTCGCCAAAAGAGACATTCCTCCAGGCTCGGAAATTACTACCATGTGGCATTTCGATGAATCTTTCTTTCCTTGCGACGCGACAGTAAAGGAGGAGTTCAAGGACAGGGTGGTAGATCCGAAGGACGCCGCTATTTGCATTAGCGCCACACTGGCCAACTTTGGCGGTTGTGCTTGTGGAAATCCTCAAACTTGCGTACTTAACAAGCTTGATCGTCGCGCCAAGCCCCCTGGAAACAAGCGCGTCAAGGCCAGGCTGAAGGGCAAGGGCAAGAAGTCAAAATCCCTCGGTCTTTCTACTGATATCGGTCGCGCTGGCAGTGAGACCAAGCATCCTGAAGAGCATGACCCCGCAGCCGACGCCCGATCAACTTCTGGTTCCGCACGTGGTCGACATACTGGCAGTCGTGATCTTAGCCCCACGGCTCAGCTAACACTGCCAGAGCTCTCCAGTCGCGAAAGACGCAAGATAGCGGATGCGGAAAAGCAGTTCCAACAGTTGGAGCAGCTTGGAACTAATCCCAAAAGGAAAAAGCGTTCTATCGGGCCTTCGACACAATCTACCCCTAAAACAGTCTCGAGCTCAACCCAAACTAGTGACGACTTTAAACCTTACCACGAGCCTGGCCCGTCTCGAACCTCTGAAATGGCAGGACAATCGTCCCGGCGTCAAGTCAATTATCTCGACGCTCAGACTGAACTTTACGCCCATGACGTTGAGCGCTCGTTCTTGCGCGCAGAACGTTTGAAACGAGGATATAGACTCGACATGATCCATCCATCACTTATGCTTAAGATTCGGTGGTGCGCGGGACACCACATGGGAGCGGACTGGGCCCAGCGAAATGCATGGGAGGCCGGCGACTTCACTGTCGTGCCATCTGGAGTCCTCCCCTGGTGGTATGGGTGGTTCCCCCTCCCAATCGACGACAGGTCTCATATTGAGTTACTCAGGGAAGATTCCGACAGAATGGGATTACCTCCCGATCACGGCCCCCTTGCGATGCCCCCTCGGTGGTCTTTCCACCAATCCAAGTATCCCCAGCCTGAATTCAAATACCATGGCATTGCGATCAAAGGAATGCATTACGATCCTCCGGCGCGACCTGTCCAAGTTGACATTGATATTCAGGGTGCTGCCCTCTCTTACAAACCGCAATTCTCCGCGTTTGGGTCTAGCAATGGTCCACTCAAGCCGCCACTTCCGCCTTATTGGCCATCTATTGCAGCGCATACATTCAGGATTCCCGGGACTGGCAATCGTGGCAATCGTGGCAATCTGCATGTTTCCATGCCCCAACCAAAGGCCTCGAACATCCAGTCAGCGCTTAGTCCTAGTTCCATGTCGACAGGGAGCCTCGCATCACCTAGTTCTCATGACACCGCTTCCCCAATTTCTCTCGTGCCATCTTCTGGCTCTGCACTCGCAGCCACCCCTGCCAAGAAGAAACTCAGTCTTGGCGATTATCTGATTCGACGTGGCACAATGGCGACTACCCCAACTTCGGAGCCAGCTCCTGCCCCAGCTCCTGGTCCGCCTCCTGGAGATTCTCGTCTACGCACCCAACATTTTCTGGCCATCACGACGGTGTTTGGTGATAATCATCAACCTCCCCGCAAACCTGAACCTGGGGGTGACAAGAACGAGCCCTCTGACTCTATGGATATCTCTATGGAGGATGCACCGGAGACAACACCCACCAAAAACCCGTCTATCTCTTCGTAATACGACCATCCGCGTGGTAGTAATGGTGGGCCTGTGATAAAAAGAAAATTCCGCCGTGGATTTAACGTTTCTTACGACCCAAAATTTCTTTTCTCGTGTGATTTCATTTCGATACCTTACAGCAAGGCGGGCACAGGCGTTTGGACTTTCAGCTTCTTTTCTAATTTTTTTTTTGCCTTCTGTGCCGGCTTCTTTTCTCTTTTTTTTCCCCCCTCCGGCTTTCGGACTCTGGATGGCGTATGGCGTGGGATTGGTTCTTGGATATGGGAAATACCATTTGGGTCAGGGTCTTTGAGAATTGTGTCTGCCTGAATTGCAGCACTTGATCTTTTACGATTTGTCCAGTTTAATCTTGGATATGTATGGCCTCTTTTTTGAGACCAGGCTAGATAGCTTGTATGAACAATGTAACTTTTGCCTGTTTTAAATATTAACGTTAACTATAGATCGGTATATCTTGAACTGACAGATTGGTATGTGCTACTACACCTTGCTAATGCACTTTCTATTCCAATCAGATTTCAGTTTGTTTAATTTGACTATGCGAGATGATAGGTTGATGGCAGATGACTCAAATCGCGAGGGGAAATCCTTCAGACCCCACGTTTCTTCCCTTGCTATCTCACTCATCTCTAATGCTTGTGCTATTGATCCTAGTGCAAGATGAACATTTCTAATCAAAGCCTCGCGCTGAACGAGAGACATTCTCGCAGATCTACAGAGGTCTCCGAGATCGAGCAAACCACACTTGCTCCAGCAGATGAAGGCAAAGCCGCATGGCTGATGCTAGCTTCATGCTGCTTCATCCAGATACCAGTCTGGGGTCTGTTATAACCGAACAAACCCCACATATAAATACTAATGACCATCTAGGATTCTCCACTGTCTTTGGCGTCTTTCAAGAGTACAACTTAACACATGACGTCCTACAGGGAAGCAAGAATGACCTGGCGACTGTTGGAACTACTTCCACTGTATGCAAAGGATAAACGAGGACGGCGGTGGTCTAGTCTAATGCTTTATAGGGACTTCTTTATCTTCTCTCGCCTGTCACTTTCACACTTTTGACGAGATACCCGCATCTACAATACTATTGTGCACCTGCAGGCTTGGTCATCACTGTCATAGGGTCTCTGTTATCCTCATTCTCGGGGCAGGTGTGGCATCTGATTCTCACCCAGGGTGTCATGTGTGCCATTGGGAATGGGCTCTTGTTCACTCCGTCTTCCTTGTACCTTGATCAGTGGTTCTTGCGCCGGAAAGGCCTTGCGCTTGGAACTATGTGGGCTGCGAAGAGTATTGTTGGAGTTGCTTTGCCTTTCATTGCTAGTGCTTGTCTGAACAGGTTTGGATCAAGTACTACGTTAAGGGCTTGGACTGTCGTTACGGTATGAACCAGCTCTTTCTTTGAATCGATTGAAGCATAAGACGATGTGTCTTCGGTTTTATACCAAACCATCAGGCCATCAATGGTCTTCACGTTCTCAAGCTACGGCTGACAAAAATCTAGCTGATAACCACCCTCATGGCCTTGCCATTTATGAAACCCCGTATCCCAATATCGCCATCTACTTCAGCCCGCCGTTTGGATCTGAGCTTCCTCAAACAGACCACGTTCTGGATGCTGCAAATGGGGAATATTATCCAAAGTTTCGGGTATTTCTTACCAACGACATTCCTCCCTTCCTTTTCAACAAGGACTGTCGGGCTATCCCAGAACACCGGTACAATGCTGGTCTCGTTGTTCAACGCAACATCCATTGTTGGTGGGATAGCCCTAGGAGTACTCTGTGACCGGTTCTCCGTCACAAACATCATGCTACTATCCTCAGTTGGCTCCGCATTGTCAGTGCTTCTATTCTGGGGTATGGTATCATCAGGCTCAGAATCGTCACCGACAGCCATTGCCCTTCTTACTATCTTCTCCATCACGTATGGCTTCTTTGCTGGTGGGTTCAGCTCCACCTGGTCTGGAGTCATTACTCAGATCAAGCGTGACTCCTCGTCGCCATCCCTGGATACTGGGCTTATCTTTGGTCTTCTTGCTGGTGGACGTGGGATTGGAAATGTGATTAGTGGACCGCTGAGTACGGTGCTGCTTCAATCGGGGTCTTTGGGGGATTCCGGTGGTCTGGGTGGTAATACAGGCTACGAAACCCAGTATGGAACTCTGATACTTTTCACTGGAATCACTGCCTTTTTTGGTGCATGGAGCTGGATGTGGCGGTATATCAGCCCGGCACTGCGGTGTCTCTCTTGATTGTTCAGAGCAGCCTTGGAGTATATGAGCAGAGAATAGGCAGTGATGGTTGGTGCATAGTTAAGGAATGGATGGCAAGGACAAAGTGTGGTGAATAGAATCAAATAGCAAATATTTCTTTATGAGAATCTTTTATTTAGACCCTTTTCTTTTGATGTAAAAAGTCCTTGAAATGGCTGGCCATACCGTGTCACGTGCCGTCTGCGGAGCTTCGACTCCAAATGCGCGTTCTTCAATCCCAGCCCCGACAACTTTCTTATAACTGCTGCAACCAAGGGCCACTGCCCTATCTACAACAATGGCAACCGAGGCCGCACTCCAGGATCCTCTCCTGTCACTCCGACGTGCGATTGCCTCTGGCAACCTCCCAACGCCGACAACCTCGTCCGAGCTCTCCGACCAATCTGCCACAGACGACCTGGCCAAAGCCACACATCTCTACTTCGCCCAACCAGCTCCTCGGACAATCGCTTTGTCAACCCTCACACGATTCATCTCGGCATCTACCAAATCCCCTGTTGACCTGCGCAGTATCCTTTTCGCCTGGCAAAACAAAGATGTCGCCATTCCCGAGTACATCGCCAAGGCGCAAGAATTCAACGAAGCACTGAAGCAGCAGACAAAAGAGGGTGAGAAGGAAGAAAGTGTCCAGATTCTTATCTTCCTCGAACGCCTTGACCTTTTCACCTGGCTAGAGGGTGCCTCCGACGACAGCGAACATATCAAACCCCTCGAGGGTGCCGCTGCCGCTGCTGAAGCCGCCGCCTCAGCCGCAGGTGTTGCGCAGGCCGATAATGCCGCCGGAATTGCCGCCGGTGCCATTGGCGGCGTCACCTCAGTCCCCAGCGGAGCCGCAGGAGCAGCCCAGCCTGGCACTCAACTTGGCCGCCCACAAAAGCAGATTGACCCTCGACTACAGGAGATCTACAACGGGGAGCGCAAGACCGGCGACCGCAACACAGTGCTGCGTGGAATCAAGCCGACAGTGAGTTACTCTAGACGCGATACCATAGACCCAAGCTAACCCTGATTCCCAAGGACTTCTCACACGTCCGCAAGAGCGCCGAATTATTCCTCGACCGCAACCGCAGTCGACCGGGCCAGCCAAGTGCCAAACCGGGCAGCAAGGGCTCCATCCCGGCCCCATCAGCCGGTCTCTCGATGGTCCCATCGCGCAAGTCGAGCTCCTCCCACTCCCGCCCCGACCCAATCATCCTAATCTCACCCTCCGCCTCATCCCTCATCCGCATGTCCAACGTCAAATCCTTCCTCGAAGAAGGCATCTTCGTACCACCGGACCACCCAACCCTCTCAAGCGCCACAGACGCCAACCTCGTGAAGCTAGAGCGACCTCTCCGTCTCAACGGCGACGCCTCGAACCCCAGCGCGAGCTCAAGCTCCCGCGCCGGCGGAAAACCCACACGGCCAACCAAGTTCATCGTCGTCGATGGCACAACCAACTTCAAACCAGAGTACTGGAACAGACTCGTCGCTGTCTTTACTACCGGCCAGACCTGGCAGTTCAAGTCGTACAAGTGGTCTTCGCCGCCGGAGCTGTTCAAGCACGCTACCGGTGTGTATATCGGATGGCGCGGTGAGGACGTCCCTGCGCAGGTTAAGGGCTGGGGCCGTGGTGTCGAGACTTATGCTGTTGAGCGCTGGGACGAGAAGAATGGTGTTCATGGTGGTGGGCGCTGGCGGGATCGTGAGGTTGTTGAGGGTATTTGGACGGCTATTGAGGAGGGTATGAGACTTCGTGGATGGGGAACTAAGTAGACTTTCTTTTTTTTCTCCTTTTTTTTGGTCTGTCTCGGTTCTCTTTCTCGATTTGTTGTCATCTTGTTCTCTCAATACCCTCAATTTCCAAGAATATGATGACCATCGGCATTCAAGGCGCAGTTCTAGGCGTTGTGGTTGTCTTTCTTTTGTTCCTATCATATTCTATGTATGTATGGCTAATCTGGCCCCAAAATCCATTGATTCCAATTCGTAACTTGAACTGCTTAACCGTGCTCACAGTCGAGCATTGTCCAGGTGGTGTCAGGGTCCGGGAGGACTTGGCGAACTGCTCGTACTTGTAGGAGGAGCTGGGGGCATTGTATCCAATGAGGCCTTCGGTTGATATGTTTGAACGTGTAGGCCCTGTGTAAAGGCAGCGAGCCTATCTGGCTAGGGGGGATGGATGGAGCCTGCTGGAAGGGTTCCGACTAGACACAGTCAACATGTATAGCCTAGGACTTCCGCCATTGACTGCATTGTCACTGGGATATAATTTATAGCAAGGACGAAGACGTAAAATAATCCCTGGTCTACAACACAACATTTCCATGCACTTCCGATACCATTGACCATTTACTCTGAAGATAAATATAAGATCATGTCCATTGCAATTCGCAATGAGAGAATAATATGACATACACAAGCAGACCATAACTCACTCGCTGTGCCCGGGTAGAACGATGCAGGAACTTAAGGAAAACAACTCATAGTCAATGAAAAGAAAAAGAAAAAAAGAGATGGAATCATATGACATGCTCAAATGAAGAGATGAAAAAGAAATGCAGAAAAGAGTTGTATGGAGAAAAAGTGATATGAAAAAGGACATGCAAGAAACGCCGTGTCAGATGCTGAGAAGGAAAAAGAAACAGCCTTCAATCTTTCAATGTTGTTTTTTGTTTTTTTCTGTGTCTGGGTCTTCCCTTTCAATATTTCCCTGGGGAGGATAGGGGGAAATGCGAATGAGTAAAGAATGCGAATGAATAAGGGAATATAAAGGGGGAAAAAAAACAAAAGCAATGCCATCCAAATATTACAAATATTTTCCAGTTCCGGCCTTCTCTATAACATGAGCCATCGATCATAACGTCTTTCGGAGTGGGGGAATCTCGTGGATTAAAAAAAGAAAAATGGATATGGCAGCCAGACACGTTAGTGCTGGACTGCATGCGGAGGAGAGAGAGAGAGAGTAAGGAACTTCGTGGTCGGAAACGATCGTGACGAGATTGATGAAATCGGGTCTTAAAAGGTCGACCGGATATTTAATGTCCCCCCTTTTGTATAGGAGGGGAGCGGGTTTCCGTAGTGGAGCCACAAGCATGAGTGCGGGTTTGCAGAGTGGATAGATTCGATCTGGGCCTTTGGGAGGGAGGTCGAATGCTGCTGGACTGCATGTGTTGAATTGGTTCGGGCTGTAATGCACCGAAAAGGGGCTCATGAGGAGTCAGAATCGCAGTGATACGACTCGTCTTCGAATGGGTTGCGGACTATATCAATGCTTGTGGGCGGTGGTTGTCAGGCGCGGGTAGAGCGGCTCATACTGCGTTCTGGGATTGACGGCGCAACTGGCGTGGGCGAGTATGAACGCGGGCCTCCCATGATGTCCACGTCATGTTCTTGCAGAACAACGGAGTATTTAGGGTCGCGCAGGAACTTGGGGACGGAGTCGCTTGACATCAGCTTGAAGACGGAAGTTTGAGCAAGCTCAAACAGGTGCACCACTTCTTGGAGACTCTTGAACATGGACTCGTCGTCTCCCACGGCCTTGGTCATGCGACTGGCGAGGCTGTTGCGGAGCGCGTGGTCGATGTTCAGCTCGCAGGGTGAGCCGGGAGCCAAAAACGCGTTGTACAATCCATATGCTGCGGCCAAAGTTTCCCGCACCGAGTCGACCTTGTTAAATGTACCCATCTTCTCGGCCTTATGGTAGTTGGCAGTGAATTCTGAGACATCGAGGTAGAAAGACAAGTTCTCTTCACACAGCGAGTAGCGGAGGAATTCACGGAAAAGCAAGCGCAGGGCGGGATCCTGAAGGATATGGGTCAATCGGGCGTTATTGGAGTCGCGTGGCATACCACGACTGTCGTATGTCGTCGCAACCTCGCGGGTCTTCTCGCGCGCAATCCATCCACACACGCGCTGTCCACGCTCGGTAATGCCGTAGATGGCATACTTGGAAGGCTGGAAGTGAGCATTGGTTCCGACATCGGGAAATTGTTTGTCGTCCTGAATCATGGTGATCAGGCCGTACTTGAGGAACAACTCGGAGATCAAGCAGGTCTCCCGGCGCTCAATGGTAGTTGAACAATCCATCAACCAGTCCACCGATGCCTTTCCAGTGAACGTGTTGCTATAAATCTTTCCATCCAAAAGCTTGCGCTCCCGAGCCACCTTCACACCAACGAGACCGTTGGTGTAATCGCTAAGGGAGTCCGAATCCGAGGTTGAAATGCTACTCTTCACGTTCGGCCCATCCTGACCAGCAAAGCGGCGGAAGATCACCTCGATCGTCGCGCGATCATGAGACAGCTTATCGCTATCCGTGTCACGTTCTAGGTTCACCAGCTGCATGGTGTTGCGCGGCGACTCTAGTACATCCATCACGTGACGGGCGGTGATGCCGTTCCGCTGGCAGAAACGCTGCAGGATGTTGATTCCCTTCGGGGTGAGCTGGAAGAGGGCGCCCTTGAGGGGGAAGATCAGAAGCGCTTTGCCGTCGACCGATTCAATGAAGCGCGCATCGACAAATCGCTGGCAGACGGATCGGGCCATTTCCTTGGCCATGGAGAAAGTGGTGGTTGTGGTGGTGGTGACGATGCGGGAGGGGTCTTTTGGATCGGGCATGCGATTGGACTGGGAGAACTTGAGGGAGCCCAAATTGTTGACGGCCTCTTCTGAGGTGAATGTGTGGTCATATCTTGTGAAACGAACGCGGTGCGAATCCAACTTCAAGCTGACCATCAATGTGGAGAACAAGTCCATGAAATCCTGCGCAAATCAGCCCAATTGTTCCAATGGTTTGTTTCCCGTCCATATGTTTTAACCTACCTTGGTGAAGGGGCGCTCATCCTCCGTCATGCGCAATAACCTCGACGAGGTCTGATGCATTTTGGGTTCGGGCGGGGAAGGGCGGGTTTCGGGAGGTGTAGGAAGACGATTAGTCAAACGACGCTGTAAAAGCGAATTTGAAGGATTGTCGACCAAAGCCGGAGAAGAAGAGCGTGAAGTTCCGGTCAATTGCACGTAGGTGTCTCCGTCAAATGGTGGGGTCACAGGGGCGGAGAGCTTCGGTCTCGACAGACTACCGTATGAAGTCGAGGAACGTAGTGTACTAGATAAACTAGCAAAAGCGTAGGTCTTTTGGGCTAATGCAGCGAAAGAACGACGATTGCGGGAGATAGAGCCGCCAAAATCAGAATAAAGAACTGAAGGAGAATCTTCTCGGCTGTGGCTCCCGGGTTGGGTTGGCATTGAATGGTTTTGAGTCTTTCGGGGTTGAACCAGAGGGAGAAAAAAAAGTGGGTTATGCCAAACACCTGATACCGGAAAAAAACATGGGAATTCTGCAAAAAGAAAAAGAGAAATTTAAAAAAAAAACGAAAAATTGAAAAAAGAAAAAAAAAGGTATTTTATTTAAGAGTGGACTAAACTCTTCAAAGGTAAAAATGGAAAAAGTGTGTAAGAAGGGGGGAACGAAGGGAATTATACAGAATTTCCTGTTATTTTTTTGAATCAATTTGAATAAGAAAAAGGAGTAAGAGAAAGATGGGTCTAAAGGGGGGGGGAGAGAGAACGGGAAGGGAAAATGAATTTATTTTAAAAAAAATAATACAAATAGGAAAAAGAAAAGAGAAAAAGAGAAAAAGAAAAAGGGAAAAAAAGGAAAAAGAAAAAAAGAAATAGAAATAGAACCATTCGGCCTGTCAGCCTATGATCCACAGCCACGCGTGAGCCCCGAAAGAGTTTGGCCTGCATCCAAACAACGTGGGCCATGAAGATCGGTGGGTTCTGGTATTATACAATGTTGTATACTCTTCTATAAGAAGATATGAATTATAGGAAGTATGTATACCTTAATAACATATGTGAAGCTTGAATTTTATAGTCCACACTTTATGTTGTCTATCTATAGTTTGGTAATTCCAAATAGAGTCCACCAGGGGGTAAAAAAAACAATTAAAATGGATCATTTCCAATGATTTCATTGATTTTGTGCGGTTCTCCAAAGACCGAGCAGATCCGAAGATCTTGATACCGTATCAGTAATACAAAACATCTAGTGAAATATTCAAGCCGTTTCATTGTTTCCCCCCCCTGTCTGAGTCGCGACCCTTACTGACTTGGGACTAGAGCTCTGTTTTTTGACATGCTTCGGAGTAATAACGGGTAAATCCAGATCTGAATCTTCAGTGCTACATATGTATCTATTTTATAGACCTGGTTTTGCTTGAGTCTTCGACTACAAGCTTCCATGAAATCATGCCATCTCATGCATAAGCTCTCTGAATAACTCAGGTAAAGCTTGAGCCCACGTGGGAATCCTTTTGAAGTTCGAAATCTACGTATGTAACGTATGTACCTACTCCGTATATTGATATGATACGTTCCAAGGTTGATATAATCCTAACTACCATGGAAGTCCTATTAACCTTATCGAGTGGCAAACCATTGCAATCTACGTATATAGATGACGGGGCTTTGTGTGCTTATTAAGGGTCCCAATATTGGCCCACTCTGAACATGGTCGGAAAATAAACGTTTTCTATGTATATTGTAAGAGTGGGCATTACTTTACATCATCAGAAACATCCTACGGGAAAAGTATGGAGTGTCGCAATCGGACCCCCCACTTCTTCGATCCAATGGTGGGGCAATCAGGGAACCTTGGAAACACCTTCCTCTGTTTTGTCTGCAACTGTTTGTAATTTAGCTTGCATATAGGCGTGCATCCTGAAACTGCACTATCTATTTGCGAAAAGGATGAGATAGTATAATAATTTTTATACACTGTTTCCTTGCACAAGGTTAACCATTCATAGTGGGGGGAGGGGTATTTCCTTTTTGAGGACCTTGCGTGTAACCTGAAAATATTCAAGGGGGGTCAAAAGAAAAAAAAAAAAGAAATAATAATCCTAATGTCCAGGCTTCCATAGCAATTCCAAGCGTCTTCTTTTCCTTTCGTGCGCATAACCCATGTGGTCCCACGTGGGCACACGTGGAGAGAGATGCTTAGCGTCTGACCGCCAAATCCCCCTCTTACTACTTTGCGTCTAGAGGGAGGCGCAGTCTCGCGAATCTTTCCCCTGAAAGTTTGAAGTTACGGGGGGAGCTATCGCTAATTAATTCCAAGATTTCAAGCCTGGCTTACCAACCTTTCAACGGTTCTGGTATGGAGTTTCACCTTCTCGTCTCAGGTTTTTGGACAATACGGGGTTTTACCGCCTTGATAAAACAAACGCCAATAGAGACGCGCCCTAGTGTAGCATCCCCGCCAAGCTCTGGGGATCATGATTGACAATTTCGTTATCAATTCATCCATGACCTCTTTTACGAGGGGACCAATGCGCGAGATGCAGGGGCTGGCAATTCCCATCTCCGTTCAACCTCGGCGAGCTTTTGCTAACGGTCAAGACGAGAGCCTCATCTTACATCTGATTCTGGTTGAGACATCGCCCCCAACACGGGCACAAAGACGGCCCCAAGGATTTCACCTGCATGAACCATGCTTTCAATAGAGAGTTTCAGAAAAGCTATTCAATGCCCTGATTTGGAGCTATCAGACACGTCAGCGAGACTTCTAGAGGTACGAAACAAGGCCGGCCAACCAAACCTCCCGGAACAGGTCACGGGAAACCAGCAAATGCAAAATGTCAGTGCGAGTTTCATCCGCTAGGTGCCGGAAGACCTTACCTAGACAGGCAGTATGCTACGCGGAACAACATAAGTACCTATATCTTCAAAAATCCAAAAAAGGGTTTGGACTAGACCGCCCAGACACGGCCATAGAGCCAGATTGAGCAAAGATACTCGAATGATTGCATAGCATATGATACGAGATTGGCTCCCCCGCAAGACGAGATTAGCCCACTAAAGTTAAATTGGATAGCGCAGATCGAATGACATTCTACATCACAGCAGAGAAAAACCTTGGAAGCGGATAAGAACATTCCAATAAGCGACACGTCATATATCCTTTCAAACTGTTGAGATCTATCGACTGCGATCGATCACAACACTACGATCGAACGGTGCCACGTGGATACTAGAACAGGGGAGAGAAACCCAAGCGAAACAGTTTCTCATCCCAACAGGGGCACCTCATGTGACGGAATTGGGGGCCAAAAAGGGGTCCCTGGTCAAAAGTCTTGGCTCAGCCCTGTATGAGCGAAGCTGATTTGACTCAAAGTACTTTCGTGCGGCTCTATTTTGAGATAGACAGGTTTTAGGCTCGTTTCAAGGAGTTTGGGTCAACTACGGAGTATATATATACTTGATCAATTCAAGGAGGTTGTCGAACAATTGTATTTTGTACGGATGATACATAAATAGATTAAATAGATTACTTTCAATACAATTAGTGCCTGCATATCCGATCCATTATTGCGAGACGCTAGACTCGAAGAGAAGATGGTGGAGACTATCCTTGTCGCTTTATTCCGCTTAGCATGTTGAAGTGGATTGAAGCTATCCAAAATTGAGTCCCGCTAACAGATTGGCTCACGGAGGTTTTCCTATTCAGAGTCTAAAGTTGCGGTCAGACATCCAACGGTAAGAGATATGAGATGAGACTTTAGCGATCTTGTTGATCTCACCTTGAAGTACGGAGTATGTATTATTGTATCTATGTTACCTGTAATTTATGCCACATGTATTGTATTTTTCCAGATGTCAACATCCCTGATGGCCACGCGAAAAAGGATTCCTGCAGGCTCGAATTGTTCAGGGGTAAAGGACACGCAGATGCATACAATGTACATGCAATTTCGGAATGTGGATAGACATTTTGACATCAAACCTTACGAGTCATGAAAACCCAAAAAAGCTAGTAAATCAAAAGAATCAGCTGCCAAGAAGCCAACCCTACTCTTTCAGGACAAGTTTGCATCCTTCGTTTCAGGGTCAGGACTAGGTGTCGATCCGCGTAAATAGAAAGCTTGTGTACAATTAGTTAGGTAGCTCTGGGACATACCATAGCTAAAAATATAGAAGGATTCTCATCTTGTATACTCCGTACTTTGTATGGAGTATAGGCAACTTAGTTTCCTACATATCACCTCCTTACCTGTTCGAGGGTCCCTGCATGTAGCAGGTGTACTTCATACATACTCCGAACTGCATGGTTGTATGCAGATCTCTATGGAATCTAGGGAATCAACATCCGAGAGATAGGTTCACATTTCTCTAGGAATGTGGCTTGCGCGATTGGGATTCGAACTATGCTCCGATGCTCCTTAGACGGGCTGACCATGCTAAACTCTAATATGGTAAGCCTTGCCAGATGAAGTATTTCGACATGGACCAGGTGGGACCAGGTGGCAGGGGGTAGATAAAGGCCTAGATGAATCTCGGTCTTCGCCTCGCGGCCCCCTTGATGTACATCGCAGACTAGGCACCTTGAGATGGTTCTAGGCAATCGCAAATCAACCCGATCTGTAATTATAGGATCGATCTTCACTGCTGATACCCCATCAGCTATCTAAATATGGACAGGCCAAGACATCCCGAGACAACGTATCACATTGTAGAGCCCGAAGCTACCGGAGCTACGAATGTGGGGGAAGTATAGCTGAGGTTGCCACGTGGAATGCCGGAGTGGTCGATAATTTAGACCTTGAGCACAGATCCAATCACCCCTTAGTCACAGTAGGCCGCAACTTGTAAGCGAGTATGTCTACCTATTTTCATAGGTGACCCCGTATTCAGGAGCCATGTGGCTTGCGCAGCGACCTTTGTTCCCGTAGTCCAGCCCCATGTTTGCTGGGATGACAATCCTGATAAAGAGCCTGATTGACAGAAACTCCCCTTGCCAGACTAGCGAAGACACTAGTGGTCTCCCCGTGCACGCAGCACTATCTGAACAGAGCCTCATTTGATCTGTTACCTATTTAGTAGCAGCAGGGGGAGATGGTACAAACGTCTCCCCCTGGCGGTGAGTACGGAGTCGCCGCGCTGATGCTCATTTCTTGAAACCGTCAGATTTGTGGCTTTGATGTACTTTTGACTCGCTCGGACTTGAAGATCAGTTCTCGGACATCCCGATGGTGAGAAAGTTCGGGCAACACTGATTAGCGGGCATATACGGAGTGCATGTAGATAAGGATCTTCCATGTGGTGAAGTTGAACCTTGTTCTGCTCACGTAACTCGAAATGGTTACCTAATACACTCCTTTAGGCCGTTTGTAGAAACGTCCCTTTTGCCCGTGTTATACGCGTATATGATACCATACCATATAAAATACGAGGTATTTGGTTTGACTCCACTTGCTGAAAACAGATAGTGCTATAATGATCACGTCATAGACTTTGAATGGTTTAAACTACTCCGTACCAGTGAACCAGACTTTTATACTTGAATCATGTAGTAACACACACCTACAGGTAATGAGTCCACAGTCCCGGCCGAACTGGGGACGAACGGCGAACTCCGGTGGCAAAAAACCTTGGACACGCTAGAAGCCTTCTAGAAGGATTCCAGAAGACGCTAAGAAGCCACGTTTTGGATTGTTCCATGGTTCATAGAACCGCCTGTTTCTCCCCTTTCTATTGATTAAGGGGCCAATATATTGGAAAAACCTTGTTTCTGTCCATTCCTTGTGGTTCTTTGTCGTTCTGTTTCTGTTCCTGAAATCCAGTACCGGTCTCGGGGTATTCCCGAAGACGCAAGGCTTGGCAAGTGTCAACTGTGAACTATGTCCCGCACTAAGGATTACTTAAAATGTATCGAGCCAATTAGGTATTTATTAACGAGAATAATATACCTAGGTACGGGGTATATTATATATAGAGCAATTTCATAATTCTATTTACTTGTATCTGATTGATGATGTATATAGTAAGAATAAACTCAAAGAGAAAGAAAAAAAAACCCTCCGATAGGTGTTTCCATTTTAATGTACAACATCCGTATATCCATATACCCACCAGACAACTCCACCTTCACACACGGCAGAATAGCCACACGGCAACAAAAGGACCTTCAAGTCCACGTGGCAGATCGGCAAAACACCGGTGACAGAGACAGCCGACTTACATATGCAGCTACAACCCTACCTGGTTAGCCTAGATAGTATCCTATTTCTGACTGGCTAACTAAATCCCAGGTTATTACTGGTAAGACATCTAAATGGTTGTTCTTTACCGCCTCCATTCTATATTTCGCGGCTAACAATAAGAGGGGAAAGATCTAAAAAAAAAGACATCACGAGTCATAAACGGCCGACTAATGGTATTACTAAAACCCCACGTATGACTTTCCTCTCTTCCATAGGTTTCACTTTCTAATACGTTATCTGTTTCATGATCTCATTTACTATCTTCTAGTACATCTAAACAATAGAAAGTAAAGTCAAGTATTTTTAATGTGAAACAAAAAGACTCCATACAATCCTCTTTTTTCGCAGAGCTCGGTCATTATTCGTAGATACGTATATCGTAGCCACCAAAGCAAGCAAATATCATATTAGGAAGACATTATCAAGCGACGATAATGCAGAGCAACCAAATGTCGAGCGATGATAACCAAACTAGCCCTTTTTGGACTTGTGCTTGGTCTTGAGTTTCCAGACCGGAGGTTTCGAAAACCACGCATTTGCCATCTTTAGAAGAAAGTCAGGATTATCAGACCCAAGCAGCTTGCAGAATCGATCATCAATATCTTTCTTCTCCTCCGCCGTAAACTCAAACCCTCGGTCGTGTATACAGCAACTGCACTCAACGGTACAGTGTCCAATTCCTTTCCCATTTTTGTTGGTCAACTGACGTCTCTCACAGCATCCACAGTCCCGGCTACAACAACCTCCTTTGCTAATACAGTCTTCAACAAGCTCTTCCCGGAGATATCAACCAGGATTGCTGTTCAAGGAATTGTAGCCCTTCCTCAACGATCCCATAGGGAGGAAACACTCCCGTTCGTAAAGTGTCCGCTGTCGACGGCAATGCTCTTTTGTTTATTTTCCGCCACTCCTCTTCGAGTTGGTCAAGTTGTAAGTCGTTGTTATCGACACTTGTTGGCTTTTTCGCAGCTCTAATATTGTTGTTTAACGCATCTTCTCGTTGAACGGTTGACCGGAGCCAGGTTTCGGCCACAATGATATCAATGAGGATGTTGGCATCGATACGTGTTGGAAAGATACCATAGTAAAACCACGCCTGTCGACCACTATATGTATACTGTGGAATGGCAGACAAGAGGCTATCTCCAAACATCTTGGATGCTTCAAGATATGGATACCGTCGAAGCCACGAAACAACTCTTCAAAATTAATGAAAGATAGCAGTTTTACAAGCTTGGGGTCAGAAAAAGAAGAATAAGCGTAGCGGAGTTCGGAATTATCTCATTGAGTCATCATGATCTTGCCTCACCTCATAAGGTTCATATATCAGCCGGTGCTAAATAGGGACATCTAGTGGATTTGACCATTTAGATGTGGACTTCAACAGTGTTAGTCTTCTTTCGATCTCATAGGCACACCTACGGGCCCTAGTTAGGTACCATATCTCATATCGGAAGCCTAAACTAGTTATCAAACCGTTAAAGACTAAAATCTTTAGGGAGAAAAAGCAAACCTGGAAAATGAAACTGAGAATATATACCAAGCTACATATCATAAATATTTGTAACAATATCAATGAAAGGAGAAAGTGACAATTTAGGAAGACACATACTCGTTCCCTGTAAAACATCCCTTCTTCTTTCTCCTTCCTAGAAATGAACTCGCAGACCTTTTGGCATAGAGGATCCAATACAAGACCATCTCGGACACATATCTTTCTCATTTTCCACTTTTCTCTTTCTTCTGCCTTTGAAAACGAGAACAGATAAACTACCTAGTAGTATGTGCCATCGATCTTGCCATGGGGTGATGATCTTGCTTGCAAAGCGCAGGGAGAGACAGTAAGCCCTGATATATATATCATCAGAGGGAAGCAAAAGATAGTAATTGACCAGAAATTTGTGTAGCTTCATGTCCGTCGAACAGGCCATTCGGATTGCTGCCGACGCAAGCCTGGCCGCACGGGTAGATAGATGCATTGCTTCAGCGACAGCAGGATGCACGTAAGATTGCTTACTCACTCAAATGCTTCATAGGGATAAGTACTGGCAGATGTTTTGGATACATAGGTTATCATCGCCCCGATCCTTCAATTCGCACAGCTAGCCACGGGGGATGGAAATTACAAGATGACAAGCTTGATGCCGTTGACGTTTGAATCCCGAGTTTATCGCTGCAGACTTCCTCCATTATGGTCAGTCTTCCTGCCTTCATCGACAAAAGCTGCTGGCCCAACCAATAAGGGCTCATGCTCGGCCTAGGCAAGTTCGGGTTCCATGACTACGAAACAACCTTCTTCATAAAGCCAAGATTATGTCGGTCTCGACTAACGGCGAGTGGAATGCTCCCCAGTGCTTTCTTATCTGGCAGGAAGCTACCGAAGACATAAAACTCACTAAATGACTTGCATTGCAAACTTGGTTGTGGCGTTTCATGCCCATGTGGATCTGACAGATGCAGAGCGATCTGCCTTGTTTCATGGTCCACTTGATTTCTTGATGTTACAGGGATTCTCAGTTGATATCATGATTCCAGCTTAGTCAGTCACATGGTATGATCACAGTTCCGCGAACCTTTATGCAGATAACCATGTCGAGAATCATGCACCTCGCAACGGGAACGAGTTGCATATGATACTTGTTGAGGCATTGCAGGGGTCTATACACCATTCACGCTCTAATCGAAGATATTATCGAGACAAAGGTTGTTCATTTATCCCCGAATTATTTCCATATCAGCCCATTTAACATGTCTCGGCCATACGGAATACTTGATCGTCGTTTTCTACTCCACGTGGAGACGGAAGTTGTCCGATTTATAATGGAAAACCCGTTTACGGGGGAGTACAAGTTGGAAATCAAGATCACCATTAATATGTTGTATTGACTCAAAAGCCTAATATCCCCAGCTTCCCATTCGAAACTATCCTCGATATAACCCGATCGTCCACCGTTAACCTTAGAAACCGGCTTGGGAACATGCAAGGCAAGCCAAGTCTGAAGAAATGCGCAAGGACTCAAAGCGGGGTAGTCTAGAGGTATTTTGGAAGATCCTTTGTCTCCCCGAAAGTACATATGTCCAGGTGAATTGGTCTGTATAGATCCAATGAAGCTTACGGCCCAAAGCGAACACCACGTTCCACAAAGTTCCTCGATTTACCTTGAAACCAGTCAATTTCTCTCGAAACAATCTTTATCTTAGAGACGGGCTACCGCATGCACTCGGGTTTTGTACATGTGCATCTGTATGAGCTGGATTTCTAACGGCTAGTTCTACTAGACAAGGTAGTAGGCAGCCATGCGAGTGTTGCAGTATTGTGGAGTTTACATTCTCAACTGTGTTTTTCCTGTATTTTGGCTCCACCCTCTTACACCCTGGAAGAAATGGGATACCTAGGTACGGAGTATACTAATGATAAATACAATGTAACCTACTAAAAGCCTCTGTGAATTACCTTCTGCAGATCATGGTCTGTGATTGTTAATATGCTCAACACACCTGTCCATTTCTGGGTAAAGGCATGAGAATCCGACATGTCACTTTCAACACATGGCAGGCCACATGCATATGCCGCGTGTTGGATCCAATAGAATACAAAATGACAATCTAGAAGCACGGCATTTGCATATTATAATATTTTACCTTTGGAATGAGCAAGGAGATCAAGGCAGCGAGATTCAAAAAGTCGCCAGTATTACCATTGCCACTATCCTCTAAACACAAAGTACTAAGAATATGCAAGGTCTGCCCTTCCGTTACCTTACATGTAAAGAACCCGCCAGTTTTGAAATCTAGGTATCCATATCAAGACTATTCCCCCCTAGTCTATTCGGAGTGGGAGCATGCATACACCATCGAACCTTGGAGATAAAAGCAAGGATGACGTGGTTGATCATACTAGGATGGACGATGGGAAAGGATCGGCAGATTTGGAGAGTTTGGGGGTTGGGACTAGTGATGTTTGCTTAAGCTGGGTGCTTTTTTTTGGTTTTCCATGTGGGTAGAGGCCATGTTGTATGTTTTGTGATATATCCGATACTCTTGAGTTCGGGGCATATGGGTATAGTTTCCCGTTTCTATAGAATCCCGGGGTTTGCATATGTATTTTAAATAGCTTGTGTTGATTTGTTATTATACTGAGATAGTACGGGAGGACTTGATTTTAGTTCTAGAATGACTCGACGGAGACCGGAAATTAATTATGTATTCCGAGCAATGTCATGATCAACTGGATAGAAACCCCCAAATGAAATGCTTATCACGCAAATAACGCAACATAGGAATACATGCTCGCAATATATCCAAATTGCTGACAGGCTTATTCGCGCCACCACTGGCCTAAAGCACCTCCGGAGCCCGCCATTTCAATGACCTCCTCGAAACTGATTTCCACACGGAACATCTGCCCATCAGCAGTGCCATTCCCACTGCCTACGGGAGTCACAAGTCCCCAGCTGAGCAGCTTTTCCCAGGACTCTCGGGCCACATCTCGGCCCCAGACACGGCCTGGTGTGGCAGCAGCTCCCGAGACCGAAGCAGATATCTTTGCGGAGGTCAGGAGCCGAACGTATTCTGCATACGCGGCGGGGAATGAAAGCGAAAGTGGTGCCATTGACTGCGATCCATCGTTTCCGGGGTCGAATAGGGCTGCCAACCGTGTGGCGGCTACCAACAACGCCAGTGGCAATGATGAGGGACTGGATGATGTGATGGATGTGGAGAAAGGGAGAGGTGCTGGGTCGGGGCAATCGAGAGACTGGGAAGCGAAGCTTTTCGGGGTTGGGACTTCGGGTATGGAGGTGTCGGCGGTTGATACACTTTGTAGCAAGTTGCTGATTGGGAGAAGCGCGCTGTTGAAAAACTCCTTTGCTGATTTGGTTTGGTTGTAGATACGCTTTAGGTGGAATTGGTATTCTTTGTCATTCCACATATGCTGTTTTCAAAAGCGAGGTTTAGCAAAGGTTCAATTGACTGGACAAAGGAAGATATGACAATTCTTACCTTCAAATATTCCTTCCATCCCTCAAGCAGTGTCTTCCACTTGTTTGACTCGACTAGATTACGCTCAGATCCAAGTTCATCTGCAATATCAGCCATTTCGGCGTCACTGAGATCCAGGCTCCCTAGGCAGATATCTGAAAAGGCGTCGAACGATCGAGGGAGAGGAACGTAAGTATATCGATGACTAAATCGACTCTTGACACGCTTCTCGAGCATTTCGGTTACGTCGACCTTTGTCGTGAGCCCAATGACCGCGATGGGGGCTTTGCGGGCCTGGGCAATATCAAAAAGATTATACAACAGAGTCTGTCGTGGGTGAGTGACGAATAGGTCGAACTCATCCAACAAGATCACGATGGATTTCGCAGCAGTCTTTGATCCTGGGTCCCCAGAAGCTCCGAAGAGCTCCTCAGGGTGCGACAACAAAGCCAAGAGCGTCGCCATCGTATCCGCATAAGAACTGACCTTGGCCGTATCGTCCTCGGTATGCATCTCACGGCCAAGTTGGCGCCACATCTCTCGCAAAGCAAGACGGTCATCTGTGTGCAAGAACCCATTGAGACGAACGACGTGGAAATCGTTACTGTGCTCCTTTTTCAGGGACGAGATGATGGATTCCACAATCGCGGTCTTGCCGCATCCTCTGGATCCAAGAAGAAGCATGGAGTTACCCTCGCCGATGGAGACCGTCTGTTCAATGAGCTGATGAACCTTTTGGTATTCAGGTTCGAGCCCTCGCACTGGAATCTTTCGTTTCCCTGATAGCTTTTCGAGAAGAATAGTCGAGAGAATGCGCATTTCGTCCCCAAGCCCCGTCTGACAGAGCGCTTGGAAGTTTTCAGCATATTCTGGTAATGGGTCGGAGACATCGGCATCCTCAGGCGCCTCCGGCTCTTGATAAAGATCTTGCTGGAGTTGCATGGTATCGAGGTCATCCAAGCCGTCCTGATACTCAGGCGAAGGCGACTTTTCTTTCGGCTCTGCGGCCAAGGCTCTCTTGGATCTGGGTTTCGCTGTTGTTCTCGCGGTAGTTCTCGTGGTGGTTCTCGCGGTATTCCTCGTAGTAGTCCTCGCGGTGGGTTTCTTCGCTCTGTTCCTTGTGGTTTTACGAAGGGCGGGTTCCGGGGACGGCTCGTCGAGGTCCATGTCATCCTCATCATCGTCATCCTCCTCCTCTTCCTCCTCCTCTTCCTCTTCAGAATCGGGCTCATCTTCTTCGTCTTCCACTGGAGATTGGCGCGGTTTTTGCGCGCTTCGGGTGGCACGCGCGCTCCGTGAAGAAGTGGTTGCTGGTTTTCTCCTCGATGGTGTTACGACTTCCTCCTCATACCTTTTTGGTGTTTTGCGCTGCCGTCCGCTTGACCGTGTCCCAACGCGTGCGGGGGTTTGCGCCTCATCTTTCTCGTCGCCATCTTGACCCGTCGTTTCGGGGTCTGGTTTGTCTTCGCCGCGGAGAGATCGACGCCGTGATGCACTTTTCACCGGCGTGGGAGAAGTTCTGTTGTTGTCCGGAGATGACGGGACGGAGAATACGTCTTGATTATCAGTTCCCATCTCGATGTCCCCGTCAACGTCCTCGGAGACCCTTCTCCTCTTAGTTGCTCGGGGGTTCTTCATGGCTGTAGTTTGTGAAGAAATGGAATCGCTGGTATCGGGGAGTTTCCAATTCGATCAAAAGGGATTGTCGTCGGGGCAAAGAACTGGGGGCTGGAATCCCTCGTGGTTGTCCTGTCGAATAAGTGTTTGCGCCTATGTCAGTTAGAATCAGATTCAATCAATGCTGTTTATTGCCGACCAGCTTGAACCTAGGAGCTTGCCCCGAAAGCATTGACTTACAATTGTGAGAAAATCAATGGCGCATTTGTCGTTTATCAAGGCCAGCAAGCGCACGCCGTCTGAATCAAATTCGAACAGAAGTCCTGCGTGGTTCTTGTTCAATTGCGTTCAAAAGGGTCGGCCGGACAACAAATTGGCCGATTTTCGCCTCAGGCCGAGACGCGTGACGCGAAGTCAGGTGCTTCACTTCTAAGGAGTCCTTGAGACTCGGAAATTATTTTCTTATATATCTTGGGGATTGTTCTTTTGGCTGTTAATATGTGCTATTGGATATCTCCTTGACTTGATGGATTGCAAAGATCGCGTTCTGTGGCCTACAGCTTGCCTAACATACTACGAATAAAACAAAACATAAAAGATAGAAAGGTGAACAGACTCCGAATGGATATATCCAATTCAAGCTTCGTATCTGTTCAGGCATCATATATCTGATCCGTTGAAGTACCGACCTCACCACAGCCGAGGTCCAATATCTGTGATCCCGAGTTACGGTACTTAGCTACTTCAACTTCCAGCGCAATACTTCTTCCCCCAAACCCATTTGATTTTTGCACTTGTCATTCTTTCAGCGATCATGTCAGATAACGCAATAAGCGCCCCTTCCAGGGAACTGGACGAGTTCGAGAAGCTCGTCTACGAGTATACGGGACGAATGGGCGTGGGGAGCGAGGGAGTAAGTACCATGTGCAGCAACATAAAACATATGAACTGCATTTCCTATCTACGCACCTCTATTACACATAATTGAATTCCAGCGCTTACCTTTATCCCAACTTCAAAGCACTGGGACGTCGATGCCCGCAGCTGTAACCTCCGCTTCGAATCCGCAACGCGCGGTCCTCCGGCTACAGTCTCATTCCTTTTGACGATCACTCCTGCGTTGAGCAATTACATGGGTAACCTCCATGGAGGCTGCGCTGCTACTTTGATCGATGTTCTGTCGACTACTATCTTGTTGGGCGTTTCCGAGCCGGGCAGGTTCGCTCTCGGAGGTGTTAGTCGCAACCTCAAGGTGACCTATCTGCGCCCTGTACCTACGGGGATGGAGGTGCGACTCGTTTGTGAGGTTGTACATGTTGGCAAGCGGTTGGCATTGCTTCGGGCTGAGATTCAGAAGGCGGAGACTGGTGATGTTTGTGTGGTTGGTGAACATGAGAAGGCCAATACCGACCCGGAGGTGACACAGAGGATTTGATTTGGTTTTTGGTGGATATCGGGCTCTTGGGGGCAGCTACTTGGATATAAATTTGTATAGATTTCATTTGCACCAATAGAGTTGCCAAATGCTAGCCATTGTACGAGCAAAGAGAATGTAATCTATGGCTGTGACCAGAAATATCGTGCTTCGTTTGTTATGATAGGGAAGGGCGCACAAAGAACAGAGAGAGACTATCGCAAATGTCCAAGAGAAATATAATCAACCAATCTAAGCAGTACTAGATTATGCGATTGTCAAGGCGAGGACGCCTTTTTACTCTGTGGCCAGTTGCTGGTCTTCCCGGAGACCCTCAACCTTCAACTCCTCGCCAGTGGCACGGCGGTACACATCGCGGACATCATCTGGGAGATATGGTTAGCCAACGATTAATATATTTTTGAATCATGGGATAGCTTACCGGTTGTAGTCTCGAAGTGTGATGTGGAGTCGTAGCTCTTAGAAATGAAGATGTTGGACTCCGAGCCATCGTCGGTGGGCTCGTAGAGAGGGATGGGGGGACCCATGAACTTCTCTTCAATCTTGCCCAGGCGCTCAAAGCCAGCCTCAAGCTCAAGGTGGTGGTTGGCATCGTTCTCGGCGATAGTGGACACAATGGCGATGTAGTAGCCCTTAGGGCAGACGTTATGCGCGGACGAGACCATGGCAATGTAAATGTCTGGAGAGGTTAGTGCACTTTCAATAAATCGGGACCGTATAAAACTAACCATGCTTGCGTCCAACCTGGGACTGGGGAATGATCAGTTGCACAGAGTCGCTGCTGTCGGTCTTATCGATAGGGTGGTTCAGAATACAGATAGCCTTCAGCAGGTATCCGGTGACCTTGGACTTGCTTGGGAAGTAAGAAGGATCGGCGATGATCTTCTTGGTCTTGGTCTCAAACTTCATGGCCTCGGATTGGTCGTCACGGTCCTTCATGGTCGCCTTGATGCCGGAAACCTTGCCATTCTCGTAAAGCACCTCGTCGATGTCGGTGTTCAGCATGTAGGTACCGCCGTAGATGGCAGACAGACGAGCGAAGCCCTGGGGCAGCTCGCCCAGGCCGTAGAGAGGGTAGATGTAAGGCGATTTTCCGTAGCGTGCCATAGAGTTGACGTATAGGCGGATGCGGTTAATGGTTTCGACGGCGGCACCGTTCTTGTTGATATATCCGTCCGAGGGGTACAAAGCCATAGAGTGGCCAACGAAATCGCGAGTGTTATCCTCGAGGCCAAACTTGTCGTAAACCTCCTTCATCGTGCACGTATGGATGTTCAATCCTGGTCTCCATTAGCTATCCGCTTTGATGAACCGGCCGAACTGAGGTTGCAAACACTCACCCTGGTGGCTGGCTGGGTCATCCTCCTTGAAATCACCAACCCATTCGAGGAACTTCTTGGCACGGCGCTTCTCGAACAAGCCCATGAGCGATGAGCGGAGAGCTTCACCAGCATCAGATGGCACCTTGGCCACGGTCGCCTTGGGACCCTTGCCTTGCTGGACATAGCTGCCAGCAATCTGCTTGAACTCGAGGTACCGGGTAACGTCCGTGGAGACCAAAATATTGGTCAACTCTCCATTGGACATGAGCAGCTTGGGGACCAAGTCGATGTTCCAGTCATTGACCCTCCCGTATTTCTTCCATGGCTCCTCGCCGGGGCGGACGTTGCCGTATTTCTTGAACAGCTGCAAAGGGTGTCAATAGTGTAAGTCGAAAATTAATCGGGTGCACATACTGCTTCGATGTTGATGGAAGCTGCTTCTCTGTGGCCATTGTGAGCTATTTTGATCTTGGTGCCGTCATCGCGAGCTTCTCCGCCTGACTTACCCTCCATAGTGATCATTGCGATCGATGTGAAGGACCTTGTTACCCTTCACACTGAGAACACTGTCGAAAACAATGAGAAAAATGTTGGCATTTAAATCCTAGCTCAAAGACCTACCCAGACAAAACACACTCGGTCAGGCCTGAAAGAATTGGTCAGTATTGACTTAGAGGGGGGAATGGCGGGGTTAACAACATACCAGTGCCGAGCACCACAACATCGTATTCTGGGGCGATATCGTCCATAGTGAATATGGAAGATAGTAGAGAAAGATAGAAAGATTCAAAAGAATGAGAAGAAGAGAAAGTTGAACTATTCTCCCCGACGAAGCGGTAAGAAAGGGGAAACTATTTGACGGATCCGCCACTAGTGAGTTACCTCACGATATTAATGACATGGAATTTGGCTTCAATAAGCCCCTGAGTATGTATATGAAATCTTTTTTTTTTCTCAGGGGTAAATATGATCTCCCCATATATCTTAGGTATAGGTATAAATTAAAGGAAGCTTATAGTATCGGACGATGAACCATCTCTCATATATCTTATGTATACTTTGACATGCGCACTACTAGAATCACCTTAAAAAAAAGCTAATGTTACATACTAAATTGACCCTTGACCCTTGAAGACTCGGCTTAAGTCTCCCTCGACCGGGTGTGTGTCTAAGCCCTCTTCTCGTGCTTATTGCTCCTTGGCTTGGGCTGCTCCATTGCCCTTCTGCTCGACCTCAACGTCATCGAGCCCATAAAAGTCCTCAGGGCGGTATCCACGCTTGTACATTCGTGAGGCGTCCTCCCAAGCATACCAGCGTTCACGTAGAACGTGCTTGATGGTCTTCATGGTGCTTCGAACCTAACATTATCAAATGGGTCAGTCGGATTCAAACAATTTCAACCGCCAATTAATGGCCGTCTTGGAATTAACGGAGAAAAGGTCTCCATGTAGCTTCCCACGATATATAGATGAACGAAACGGCTTTTACAGCCGGGGCAAAAAAACTCACCACTTTGTCCCGTTCCTGAGATTCGTATTGACCGTAGCCGGCCTGGATTCTCTCTCTCTCGAAATCCGATGTGACAATGCGGTTTCGTTCCCGGACGCATACGTGCCACAGAGCGTGGAGATCCTCCCAACTCTTTTCGCGGAGTTCTTGGATAGTCCATGGACGACCTAGATTGCTAACATCAGCACTGCCCATAGAACATTCATTCTGCAGATTGAACACCAATCAAACTAACCATGAGCGTTGTCATATTCTGGGGTAGGCAATGCTTCCCGGTTAGGGGGAAGAAGCCCCAGAGTCCATGGTTGGGGTTTGTTTCCCGTGGCTGCATATCTTCCGGCGACACCGGTTTGGGCAATGGCCATCTTGACACGGTAAATGGAGTTCTGGGACCGGTGCGATTGATGGCCGATACACCACGGTTTTTGCTCTTGTCGCGTCGAGGGTTGGCGCCGACGGAGGCAGTGGAAGAAAAGCTTGAAGTCTGAATGGCTGACAGGGTCACGGAGGGGTGAAGTGATGGTGCGAGGTAAGTGGGAGGTAATTCAGCCATAGCCAGCCCTCTCAGGCGGCTAGCAATGCGTGGAACCTGCTGCATGATTGTGATGGCTTTCCCCAGGATGGTCGGGATCGGAGATTGATGGCCTTTTTCGCAAAGGCGGCAAGGCTGGTCACGTGCTACAATCAACCCAAGACCAGCTTGGATGCTACCAGCCCCGGGTTCATCGGGTTCTTCACGTCTGTTTTTTTTTCAAGTCATTTTGACTCTTTTAAATCTATCTTCAATCCAAGAAGAAAACAACAATCCAAAGTACCTAGTTCAAAAAGATATCTTTACCTCTTTAGGCGTCGCGACGCGGTTAATCCCAGACTTGGCCTGTGCATTCTTTAGCACCCGCGCGTCTAACCACCCAATCGACTTACTCACCTTACTCGGCGGAGGAGTGCCGCATCAAGCGTGAGAGGCCTTTGTGGATTGCTCTCCCCTCTACAGATTCACCTCCGGTCTATTACTCGGCCAATCCTGCTTTGCTGATTTTTGAAATATCCCGGGATATCGAAAACTACCTTCTTCTTCGGAAATATCGACTATGAATAGGCCAGGTTCGTCATTTTCCTTCAATGCCTTCGCATACCCTTGTGCCTTTCTTATCGTCCCTCCCACCTCCGCGGAATACTTGATATAGTTAGACTTGGCGTCTCTGCTGGGCTATACTCTCCTTGATAGGGATAGTTACCCAGCATCAGGGAGTCCAATGGCAAGCCTTGGTTCAGATGGTTTTACATTTGCGACCGAGACATTTGCAAGGACATGCTCGCACATTCCTGTCTTGTGGTGTTGACCAGATCAGCCCTTGATGCGACGATCGTGCTGACTTGTCACGCTTGTGTCAGGACCTGGCCCGCAACCGCTGAGAGGCATGTCCGGATTCCCCACGCAACAACAAGCACAAGCTCGAACTGCATCATTAGCCTCTGCGCAATTGTCAAACGGGAAACTGGGTGCGATTGCCTCGAGACATACTTTCTGGACGCACAAGATTATTTGCAAGAAGGGATGCTAACATTGAGAGTGTATAGGCGGCGGTGCGAATTGGAGCTTCAATCTACCTGTCAGTGGAACATCTGGCCTACCAGGAAATCAACAACGCACAATGGGGACCATGGGAAGTTTTGCGCAAAGTCTCGGAGGATCTCAATCTGCGGCACCACTTGATCTCTCGTAAGTGCTCTCTTGCCATGGTTTGCAGTGGTCTCCTGTATCTCTAGGTCTTCCAATTTGTCTCCGAACTGACGAGGTCGGTGATTCTAGGGAGTTCCCTTCGCTATCAGGAGCATCACAGCAATCACAGTCACAAACTCCTGGTCAGCTAATGTGGGCCAACGCAAGTCAACGCGCTGCTCAGCAAACACCTGTCCAAAGACAACAGCTCCCCCCGACATCGCAAACCCCTTCCCGTTCCTCCCAACCTCAGGGTCTTCCCACACCTCAACAACCTCAACCACCACATGATGACATGTTTCCTTCAGGTGCGCAGTTTGCCAATCGACTTGACGACTTCAGAAATGGTGGCCAGGGTATTAGTAGCCAACTCGGTGCGGGTGGCCAGCCCCAGACAGGCAATATTGAAGAGTTTCCCCCTTTGGGTCGCAATGCTGCTGCTGAGCTTCCACTTGGTCGAACTGGTTCGTTGATGCAGGGTGCAGGTTTTGGGGGCTATGGAACCGGTCTGGGGACATCGCGGTCACCAGTCAACCAAGTACCCAATGGCATCTTGGGACAAGAGAAAGAAGTAGGTATCTAAAATCATGCTCATTTTTTAGGCGGCACTAACTTTACAACAGGACTTGAACAATGGTGTGCTTCCAGGCCAGCGTAACTTTAGCGATCCACAGCTACAGCAAAGGCAGCCAGAGAGTAGCGATGGACAAGACGTTTCCAGTGCACCCCAAAGTACTGAGCAACCGCCCCTCGCACAGATGAGTGAACTTGACAGGTTCGGGTTGGCGGGTCTGCTGCGCATGATCCACAGCGAGAGTCCTGATGTTGCAAGTCTCGCTGTTGGCCAAGATCTGATGACACTAGGATTGGATTTGAACCAAGCGGAGTATGAGTTCCTTTGTTCCCATCCTATTGACACATACTAATATGATTCTCCGCATAGGCCTTTGCACACATCGTTTGCTTCACCATTCGTGTCATCCATGTCAGCAGTCCCTCTGGAACAAGACTTCTCTTTACCGGGCTGTTATAATGTTGCCAATATCCAACCCCTTCAATCTCGTATCCCTGGGTTCAGTGATGAGACCCTCTTTTTCATCTTCTATAGCATGCCCCGGGATATCATGCAAGAATTGGTGGCCGAAGAATTGATGGGCCGCAAATGGCGGTACCACAAGCTTGAACGATGCTGGCTGACTCGCGACGAGACATATCCTGGACCCGTTGATGTGGAGCGTGGTGTGACGGAACGCGGCGTGTATCTTTTGTGGGATTCCTCCGCGTGGAAGAAGGTCCGAGTAAGTAACTTTCATCCCTTGTTAGGATATGAAGGGCTCAAACTAACTGTGATCACAGCGTGAATTTATCCTTCGATATGAAGACTTGGACAACCGGTTGGATCCTAACCGAGGCGCCGCCCGCCCACCTGGTGTGGTGCATCATGCCTCATGATTTGAAGTTGATACGACTTAGGCGTGGACATGCAGAATACAAGTAATCAACTATGGCGTTCGGTTTACTAGTCTGTGTTATATTGCTCCGGGCTGGCCGCTAGTACATTAACCTTCGGGAACAAGGCGCGTTGATTTCTTGGGTATTAAATGGGCTATGTGGGAAACCAGGATACGATCTTTGAAAATCAATGACCTAGATGATCTTGTCAGAATGCTGTAAAATGCTATAGATTGCTGTAGACTCCTATACCCATACGGCATCATCTGAATGAATTATCCATCTAGCAAGACTTGCGCGCAGTGGACAGAATAGCCACCCATTCAGTATCGATGTTCCCAGACCCGTAAATGTCTTCCACGTACTTCTCTAGCGCCGGACGAACCTTATCCTTGTTTTCCTCTCGCTGCTTTTCAGTCCAGAAGGAGTTCATTATCATGGGAAACATCAACATGCTCATATCCACGAAGATAGAGGATGTGAGAGTCAGTTTGATTGTTGTTGGGCGGACATCGATGTCCTGAAACCCAAGCTCCTCGAGCTGGGACTCAATCCAGGGCTTCGAGTCCCATTTCCCGTCAGTCAGGACCGCCAAGATCTTTTGAGTCTCAGGAAAGCACAGCTCGCCTGGCATGCTTTCAATCGCTGCTCGGGCGATGGCCATCCAGCCAGCTGTTTTCATGTCAGTTAATTTGTTGTCTGAGACAATCGTTCGGATACTCACGCTCGATCCAGGTTGAGAAAGCAATAATTCCACCGGGTTGCAGCATTCGGGCGGTTTCTAGTTTGTTGTCTCCATTAGCCTTCATTATAGGAGGGAGACAACCAAGGATGTCCTTACCCTTGAGAGCCTTAGCGGACTCATGGAGTGCCATATAGGCTGTAGGATCACATTGGTTAGCCACAGTCAGATCAGATCAGGGTGCATCCAGAAATCAACTCACCGAAAGCAGTGAAGATGTGAGAGAATTGAGCACTAGCCAGCTCAGGCTTCTGCGCATCCACGATCTTTGTGTCCGTGTTTGGCCAACCCTCTTGTTGGATACGGACCTTGGTGTACTCGATCATTGCCGACGAGATGTCTCCACATGTCAACTTCCATGTTTTCTTGACAAGGTCATCAACCTTGACATTGAGGATGCTGGATACGACACCTGTACCGCAGGCATTGTCGAGGATTACTAAAAGATGATCAGGGTTGGCCTTAGACTCGGCGACCACCTTGCTTTGGTCAATCAGAATTTCAGCGAATCGGCGGGTGACCATCTCCCCGCGTTTGAATGAGTTAGCATAGGCTTCACTCTTGAAGAACTCCTCGAGGTCGGTTTTGTCAGCCATGGTTGGTAGAGTTGTAAGGTGACTGGGTTTTGTGATGATTGAAGTTGATCGATGAAGATGTCTGTTCAGAAAAAACCTCGAGTGATGTGACACAAAGTGAGATCATGGATATATGTTCGTAATAGGTCTGGACAGCCCTTTAAATAGTCTGGAATTGCTCCCGGCATCCAAGGTTCCTGTAAGTTAGCCTTACACCAGATGGTCCTACAAGCGTTGGACGATATAGAAAGTATCCGATAATGTCTCCGATAATGTCTCCGCGAGTGGATTTGAGTCATTTCTAAGAATGTACCTTGAAAGGGCATGTAAATCAGCTCCATCCTACACCGTAGTTTAACTTTATCAATGACAATTAATTGGTTAGAGGCGGATGTCGAGGCGTACATATGTATGTACTAGTGACTCCCAAGGTTCCCTCTTCGTAGATCGTGATCATTAGGTATGAGTGGATTAGCAAAAGAGGAGCCCTGCAGAGTCAAAATGAAGGCGGCAAAGCCCCTGACTGACATTCGGCATCATGTTAATAAATCCAAGGCTCTGTATGTGGTTGAAGAAACAAATTCTGACAAGCGGAAAGATTTAATGTCCAGTCGCCGAGTGCCCTTTTTTACATACTTCGATATCACGTGAGAGCAAAGCCCCCGCGCTGACATCAGCAAACGACGCCAGACCCAAATGGGTAAACCATCAACAGCCGGTGCGGCAAAACAATCAATTCCCTCCACCTCCCCCATCTGGCCGATCTATGCACTCTGCTAACGAGCAAAACGCCGTTTCGGAGTCGCAATTATGAGGATTACTGAAATTGTCATAGATGTAAGTCTCAACATTCCTCTCTCGCTATTCACTGCGCTAACTCGGTCGTCAGGGCTTCAAATCGTACGCTGTGCGTACGGTGATCTCGGGATGGTATGCAATCCCCCGCCTCCAAGCATGAATTAAACTATGGCTTTTGCCCAGTCTGGGGGTGATTGGATTTACTAATTGCGCAATGTAGGGACGAAGCCTTCAACTCGATCACCGGCCTAAACGGCAGTGGTAAATCCAACATCCTCGATGCCATTTGTTTCGTGCTTGGTATCACCAACATGACCACAGTGCGCGCGCAAAACCTCCAAGATCTCATCTACAAGCGCGGCCAAGCTGGTGTCACGAAAGCCAGTGTTACAATCGTTTTCGACAACCGGGATACCGCGAAGTCGCCGATCGGATTCGAGGAATATGCGAATATCTCCGTCACTCGACAGATTGTGCTGGGCGGCACAAGCAAATATTTGATCAACGGCCACCGCGCGCAACAGCAGACTGTTCAGAACCTGTTCCAGAGTGTCCAACTGAATATCAACAACCCCAACTTCCTCATTATGCAGGGTCGCATTACGAAAGTCCTGAACATGAAATCGGTGGAGATCCTGTCGATGATCGAGGAGGCAGCTGGTACGCGAATGTTTGAGGACCGAAGAGAAAAGGCAAACAGGACAATGGGAAAGAAGGAGCTCAAGCTGCGCGAGATCGAAGAACTGCTGAAGGAAGAGATCGAACCTAAGCTCGAGAAGCTCCGGTCCGAGAAGCGAGCCTTCCTCGACTTTCAACAGACGCAGAACGACCTCGAGCGCTTGACCCGACTTGTTGTTGCCCATGACTATGTTCGTGGCGGCGAGCGGTTGAGAATTGCAGGCGAAGAGTGCGAAAACAAACGTAACAAAGCGCAAGCACTCGAAGATAATGCGAACAAGCTCAAAAATGAAATCGCTCACCTGGAGGAGGACGTGAAACGAGTGCGCATGGCTCGCGACAAGGAACTCCGAAAAGGCGGCAAGTTCCAGGGGCTTGAAGATGAGGTCAAGAACTACTCGCACGAGTTGGTTCGACTTACCACGGTCTTCGATCTGAAGAATGCAAGCATAGACGAGGAGAAAGAGAAACGACAGACTATTCAAAATACTGTCACTGATCTTGAGAAAGTCTTGAAGGAGAAGCGCAAGATCTATGAGAAACTACAGGCTCAGTTCGATACCGCCAAGGCCGAGTTGGACGCACAAAATCTGGAAGTGGAGCAAAAGGAGGAACTGCTTCAGACATTGCAAACTGGTGTTGCCTCAAAGGAGGGGCAAGAGAGTGGTTACCAGGGTCAACTGCAAGATGCCCGTAATCGCGCAAGCAATGCCGCCACAGAACAAGAGCAAGCGAAGCTCAAAATCAACCACCTTGAGAAGCGAATCAAAGAGGAGGAGCCTCGCGCAAAGAAGGCCAAGGAGCAAAACCTGGGGCTTTTGCGCGATCTCGAAGGGTTGAAGTCGCAAGCCAACAAGCTGGAGTCCGAGCTGACTCGGCTCGGGTTTGAGCCTGGGAAGGAGGAGCAAATATACCAGGAGCAGACTGAGCTTCAACGGGATATTCGCGACCTCCGCCAGCGGGCCGATGGGCTCAAGCGGCAGGCAGCGAACATCGATTTCAACTACGCAGACCCCCATCCCAACTTTGATCGGTCCAAGGTCAAGGGTTTGGTTGCTCAACTTTTCACCCTCAACAAGGATCAGGTTCCAGCTGCGACTGCTCTGGAGATCTGCGCCGGTGGCCGTCTTTACAACGTGGTCGTGGACAGCGCGGAGACCGGTACCCAGCTGCTTCAGAAAGGCAAGCTGCGCAAGCGCGTGACTATCATCCCCCTTAATAAGATTTCTGCCTTCAAGGCCTCCGCGGAAAAGATCGGAGCTGCACAGAGCCTTGCCCCTGGAAAGGTTGATCTCGCTCTATCCTTGGTCGGATACGACGAGGAAGTTCTAGCGGCGATGAACTATGTCTTCGGCAACACCCTTATCTGCCAGGATGCCGACACAGCTAAGAAGGTAACATTTGATCCGTCAGTTCGGATGAAGAGTGTCACGCTGGAGGGCGATGTGTATGATCCCTCCGGAACACTTTCCGGTGGAAGCTCCCCCAATTCGAGCGGTGTTCTCGTTACTTTGCAAAAGCTCAATGACATCACAAAGGAGCTGCGAAGCAAAGAACGACAGCTCGCGACTTTGGAAGATCATATGAAGCGGGAAAAGAAGAAGCTCGATTCCGTTCGCTCGATCAAACAAAATCTGGACCTCAAGACCCATGAGATCAAGCTTACCGAGGAGCAAATTAACAGCAATTCTTCGTCTTCTGTATGTCTTTCTTCTGCCCCGTTCCACGCAATTTGCAACTAACCCGAAGTAGATTATTCAAGCTGTTGAGGAAATGAGAGCAAACATCGAACAGCTCAAGAAAGACATCGCCGACGCTAAGTCTCGCCAGGCCGACGCATCCAAGGATATCAAGCGAATTGAGAAAGACATGAGTGAATTCAGCAACAACAAAGATAGCAAGTTGGAAGAGCTGCAGACTACACTCGATAAACTCAAGAAGAGCCTCACCAAGAACTCCAGCTCAGTCAAAGAGCTGCAGAAGGAATTGCAGACCTCCAGACTAGACTCTGAGCAAGTTGGAAGCGACTTGTCCGCAGCTGAAGAGCAATTGGTTGAGTCAGACAACACCCTCAGTTCCCAAGTAGAAGAGATTGAATCACAAAAACGGGAGCAAGCACGGCTGAAGGTATGCGATGCCCTCGCAACACTACTCAATAATTATTTGACTAACAATTATAGGATGCTCATGACATCGCACAGGCTCAGCTTGATGATGAGAGGGCCAAGCTGACCGGCTTTGACGATGAATTGCGAGAATTAGAACAAGCCATGAAGAGCAAGTCCTCTCAGATCACCGAGGATGGACTAGAGGCGCAGAAGCTCGGCCATCAGCTCGAAAAGCTCCAGAAGGATCAGCATACTGCTAGCCAGGCTGTGGCTCACATGGAACAGGAACATGAGTGGATTGCAGACGAGAAAGAGAACTTCGGACGCGCCAACACTCCGTACAATTTCCAGAACCAGAACATTGCCGAGTGCAAGTCTACCCTACGCAACTTGACAGAGCGATCTCAAGGCATGAAAAAGAAAATCAACCCGAAGGTCATGAACATGATTGACAGCGTCGAGAAAAAGGAGGCTGCTCTGAAGAACATGATGAAGACAGTCATCCGTGACAAGCGAAAGATTGAGGAGACCATCATGAACCTGAACGAATACAAGAAGGAAGCTCTTCACAAGACATGGGTCAAGGTGAATGGCGACTTCGGGCAGATCTTCAACGAACTCCTACCGGGAAGTTTCGCCAAACTCGACCCTCCCGAGGGCAAAGACATCACAGATGGTCTCGAAGTGAAGGTGTCCCTAGGAAAGGTCTGGAAGCAGAGTCTGACAGAACTGAGTGGTGGCCAACGTTCGCTCATTGCTCTCTCGTTGATTATGGCGCTCTTGCAATTCAAGCCCGCGCCAATGTACATTCTGGACGAAGTCGACGCCGCGCTAGATCTGTCACACACGCAAAACATCGGTCGACTGATCAAGACCCGTTTCAAGGGGTCTCAGTTCATCGTTGTCTCGTTGAAGGATGGCATGTTCCAAAATGCCAACCGCATCTTCCGCACGCGGTTCAGCGAGGGTACCAGTATTGTTCAAGCGTTGACCCCTGCGGATTTGAAGTAAGCATGCACATGAGCTTGATTGTCTATAGTTTCTTTCTTGGTGTGTTGGTCCGGTTGGTTGTGAGATTATCATGTCTGGCCTCGGGTGTTTGGTTGTTTTTGGATGGGAATGGATCTCTCTGTTTTACGAATTATGCATGGTAAAGACTATTTCCAATTCGATTGGGTATTGCCCTCCGCTTTACTGGGTTCAATGTTACCTATAGAAGCACATGCGTTGCCATTTTAGAAAGGGGACATGCTTTGCCATCCCGTATAAACCCTCGATATATAAATAGTCCACGAACACTAAGAGGGCAACATGTGCTCCATTTTGGGAGCAATATAAGCTATAGAGTAATTGCATACGAAGAAAATAGTTGAGTTGTGTTACTTTTTGTTCCTTGATTCCATTGTAAATGTACAATATAACCTTAGAAGTGCCAATATGAGTGTCGTTGGAGACAAACCTGGAAACTCCGATACCCGGCACGTGCCCGATTCTCGACCCGGTGCCACCTTCCGACGCGCATTGCGATTTCATTACCCCCATTGAGCCAATACCGAAGTATCCCGCCTGGACATCACTTATATCAAATCATATTCAACTTGACGTCTTGCCTTTCTCAGAACCGTTACAGCTAGATACCAGCATACACCGGGGACCCCGAACACCTGACTCAACTTCCGCTCCGCCAACACAAGATGACAGACGAGGAACCTTCGTTGAACATACCTTCGCTTCTCACTCTAGCGGTTGTATCATACTTTGTCTTTCGATGGTTCTTTAACCGCGATGAAAACTCCGCGGGAGGAAACCGAGGTCGGGGGCGTGGCAATGTCGTCGATCCGGCACAGGTGGAACAGATCGCGCAGATGTTCCCTCAACTGAGCACTCGGGATATAATGTGGGATCTGCAGCGTAATGGGGGAAGTGTTGCCGCAACTACAGAGAGAGTCCTGACTGGACGGGGACTAGAAACGGTACGTGTTGAGCTGATGGTGTCATTAATTCCCCCGCCTTGTTTTTGTCTACGACAACTGGACTTGGTTGCAGGCTTCACATATCAACTTCAAATACCAAAGCATTGACTAATTCACTCTCTTAGCCTCCTCCTTCGTTCCAGCCTCAGGTCCCAATCCCCTCCACCAACATCCCACCGGCGCAGACCGCCACAGCCGTATCCACACTCAAAGTCGACGCACAGAACTTGATCTCTCGGTATAACCTGGATGAAAAGGCCGCGAGCCCTCCTGTGGAGTCACAGCCAGAAACACTTTCCAAGTCCTCCTGGTCTCAGAATAAGGAAGAGCGCCAGCGGATACTGCAGAAGCGTCGGGACGATATGATCTTGGCGGCGCGGAGGAAGATGATGCAAAAGAACCAGGGCGATGTCCAATGATATGAGAATTGACACGCTCGCCTGTCGACAATATGATTCTCTGTACACTGTTTTTGACGTCGATAAACCTGGCCAAACCCGGCACCAATGTTACCCGGGGACCGATATACCCTCTCCATTCTTTCGGTTTTCTTTCGCAACATCATTTGTATTAAAGCGTTCGCATGCGGTATGGTGTTAGTTAAATTGGAACAATTTCGATTATAACCGTTGGTTATTGGATCCGAAGGGTATATTGGATTATATACATGAAAGTCGTTTTGAGCATTGGTCTGCGTCACATATGCACCGAATAACTCCGAATAAAAGATACCCCAAAAACAGGAAAAAAAGTAGGGCTCGAAATGCTTAGAACTCCATGTAATCTTCTTCGTCATTGTCCTGGGTGCCATCATAGCCACCATTTGCTCTCTGCTCGGCCATCTGTTCACGCCGGGCCTGTTCCTTGGAGGACCCAATTCTCCTATGCGCCAGTTAGCAATGAACTTTCCCGTATCGCATATACTCGGATATGCAAGTGTACTAGAATGAGACCGAACATACCGAAGACCATCCACCACACCAGTGATAAACCCTCGCTCCTCTCCCAGCTCCATAGAACCGACACCCGTCAAAGCAACACCACCGCCACCGGTCGCTGCAGCATCCAGCACATCAACACCAGACCTCATTTTCGCCATGCGCACCTCGCGCAGGTCCTTCAGCAGTCTCCGTATCTGATCTGGGTCCACGAGATCATCGCTCGCGGCCTCAAGCAGCATATTCCCAAGCTCAACCCAGTGAAATGGTAGTGAGGGGGGATCCCGAGAAGACGTCACGGTCTGGGCTGTGTTTTGAGGGAGGAAAGGCGGCGCCGCATAGTACCGATTGCCATCTGGTGTGAACTGCGGCCGAGCAGATGGTAGGGCATCGCGGTCTAGAATGCTGGGTTGACCGGGCAGGGGAGGAGGTGGGGAGAAAGCGTTTTTGTAGTCTTGGTGTTGGGACTCGAATTCGAGGATGAGAGCTAATGGCTCTGGGTGTAGCCATGTTGGTGGGATGATGTTTGCGCGGCGTTGGCGTTTGAGGAGGAGTGCGAGCCAGAGGGGGAGTGAGGCGCGTCGGGGTGGGACGAGAGGTTCAACGGGGCCCTGGGGATAGTTAGCTTTGGGGAGTTCAGATGAAGTAGTTTGGAGGCGCATTCACTCCCAGTAATTCGAGGCCTTCTAGACGTTGGCGAGGCACAATTGTCACTGTTTCCATCTCCGCCAGGAAGGCGATCTCTGAGGCTGTAATGCCCCGAGGAAGAGGGAAAGCCATGATGTGAATAGGAAAATGAAGGCGATTTCAATTTCTCAGAGTCGCGATCTCATGGTTTTTCTTGGGATGATATAGGTCGTCTTGGTCGCGATGTTGACCGTTTGCTTCGCGTTTCTCCCGTTTCACTCGTTTTCCTTTTCTTTTTTTCCCTTATTTGACCCTCTCTTCAAATAGTCAATTGCCTTCTCTTTGAATGTCTTCACTTAATTTCAAGTCGCGTCGAGATGACAACTTCGAAACGGTCGAAACGTTTGAAACGTTTGCATCGGATGAGCTCCGCAAGCTCCGCCTGGGACCCGGTGGCCGAAGAATTGCAGAATGTCTGGCAAATTTTCATGAATGCTGCAAATGGTTATATAGACAGCATGGCTAATCCTCCAGAATCTGATCGCAGCCGGAGTGCTCGATGGTTGGTTCCCTTTTGTTTGGTCTTGATTCCTCTCTGGGTGAGTCTTGTCAACAAGGCCGTTCCAGAATCCTACCTCGACGAAGTCTTCCATGTCCCACAAGCACAAGCATACTGGGCGCATAAGTGGACGCAATGGGATCCGAAGCTTACAACACCACCGGGCCTGTATTTGTGCTCATACGTCATCTTCGCTATTGTGCTGCTGCTACGCGGGTCCCCGACAAAGCTCACTCCCGATGTCCTGCGCATGACGAACGTTGGTGCGACAACAGTTGTTTTCCCATGGAGACTACAAAAGCTGCTTGATACCTTGCAGAAGACGAAAAATACTCGGCCGCTGGGAGCGAACGTGTCTCACACCGTGTTGAACATCTGCTTGTTCCCTCCGCTGTTCTTCTTCTCCGGTCTGTACTACACAGATGTTCTTGCATTGCTGGTCGTCGTGGAGGCATACAATTGGGACCTGAAGAGAGATTTAGAAAGGGATCAGAAAACTGAGTCGGGAGAAGGTGCGAAAAGAGCGCCTAGCAATGGCATTCTGGAGACATTGGGATTCTTGGGTTTCGCGCTGGCTGCACTGGTCTTCCGACAGACCAATATCTTCTGGGTCTCGATCTTCCTAGGTGGACTTCAAGTGGTCCGCAAGATTCGCAAGTCTGCCACGCCGTGCATGTCATCGAAAGTGTCAACGATTGTGAAGCAAGGTCTGCAGAATGAGGTGTATGATCCTCTCGTTTCGGAGGCTTCCTTGGAAGGTAAATTGATCTTTTGAATATACAATATGAAGCCATGCATGAGGTCATTCTAACACAAGATACAGATTATTTCAAGACCGCTATTTCACTTGCAACTGTGGGCCTGAAGCAGCCTTTCTCTCTCCTCGTTTCTCTCATTCCTCACATCATCGTCCTTGCGGCATTTGGTGCATTTGTCCTTTGGAACAACGGAGTCGTTCTAGGTAAGAGTGACTGGTTTTATTACATGAAAAGCGACTTTTGACTGACAGCCGCCATTCAATAGGCCACAAGGAGTTCCATACCGCGGGTATCCACCTGGCTCAGATGCTCTACATCTGGCCGTATTTCACCTTCTTCTCATGGCCTCTTTTCGTCATTCCTCTGATCAACATTCTCGCCCTTAAGCCGCTCCCCAAATATCTGAACCTCGGCTTCCCGCCGAAACAGAGGAAATACCCCAAGCTAAAGGCAGCCCTGATTGTGATCCCGCTTATGCTTGCCGTGGTCCACTTCAATACCATTGTGCACCCCTTCACTCTTGCTGATAACCGACACTATGTGTTCTACGTGTTCCGTATTCTTCTGCTCCACCCAGCAGTCAAGTATGCAGCAGTCCCAGTCTACTTCCTTTGTGGATGGGCTGTGATCTCCGCTTTTGGATTCACCACCATCCAACGTCCGCCCAAAACCCTCCGAGTTCAGAGATCTGCCCCGGCTGTACCACCGACGCCGGCTCCGGCACCAGCTCCGGCTCCGGCACCAGCAGTCCAAGAGCCCAAACCCACTTCGTCCTCTGCGCGCAAGCCTGCACCGGCACACCAACAGCCGCCAAAGGGAACGAAGAAGCCCAACCGGCCCAATTACAAGAAGGTCAAGAAGCCTGAACCACCAGTGGAGACCAATAAGACCGAGCCACCAGCAGAGATTACGGATCCAAATGATCCCGCGATCCTGGCTAGAGTCCAGCAACACATCTTCACACGGCAGAGGGAATTGCTGGAGGCACCGCGCGTTAGCTTCGTCCTTGTCTGGCTGGCCGCTACCTCCCTGTCCCTCATCACAGCACCCCTCGTCGAACCCCGCTACTTCATCATTCCGTGGGTTATGTGGCGTGTGCATCTCCCTCCTCTGCCATGTCTGTTCAGGGACCGAGAGACTCGCCCTCGCACAGAGGAAGCCAAGCGCCGCGCTGACTTCATTATCAACGCACCAAAGTTCGTGGAGACGGTTTGGTTCTTGATCATTAATTTGATCACTGGATATGTCTTCCTGTACAAGGGCTTTGAGTGGCCACAGGAGCCTGGCAAGACTCAGCGCTTCATGTGGTGATCTTTTCTGCCTTTTTTATTTTAATAATCCTTTTGACCTGTCTTGGTCTTGGGGTCGCTTGTACAATAGAAATGTAAATTTGCTTGATTACTCTTCTAAGTATCCCAATAAATTATATACCAAACGAGAAAAGGGACATCCTTCCCTCTCCATCAATTATGTCTACTGCTGGCCCTTCCACACAGTATATTTATTGTAAATATCACGACGGAAGGTTTGCTTCAGCTCCGTCACCAACTTTCCATCAACCGGCAGCGCAGCCTGGATGGCCCCGATACCACATAGATTATTTTTTCGATCAATAAACCAAGCAAGCGTCAAGCCGCCACCCCAAGTCAACGTCCGCTCGCCATACCATCCATCAACATCCTCAAGCGTCACCAAACCGCCCAAACCATGGCCAACCTTCATCCCCAGATCCGTGCCAACGCGGAAAAAGACACCCATTGGACCAACAAGCGCAGCTTGGTGACCTGCCGCCGCCTCAGGGCCAAGGTGTTGCTGGAACATATCGTCGACGATATTGGCCTTGAGCAATTTGCCATCATTGGCCAAAAGCGAGCGCAGAACCTTAACGAAATCCACGCCGGGCAAGAATAACCCATGGCCACCAAAGTCACCACGGCCCCGCAAGTTCATTTCGCCCCCACCACCGAGAACGGCCATACCAACGGCACCGGGGTCATCGGGGTTGAGGTCGACGAGACGGGCTCGCAGGTCCTCACGGGTAACAGGATAGAACTGAGCATCTGAGAGACCGAGCGGGTCAAATATACGCTTCTGCATGAATTCCATCAGGGTTCCGCCCGTAACGCGCTCCACCACACGACCAGCCCAGTCAAGACCGGGCCCGTACATCCAGCTAGTGCCGGGCTGGAAGACGAGAGGGTAGCTGAACATTTCCTCGACGGAGCGAGGGTCATCATTCTCAGGATTGGCGAACTGAGCGCGCCACTTGGCGACGAGCGGGTTCATGAAGTGGTAGCAGGTGCCGGAGCTGTGTGTGAGCAGCATTTTGAGGGTGATGGGGCGAGCTGGTGGGTCGAGATGAGGACTTCCATCATCGGCAAAGCCAGTGAGAACATGTTTGGCAGCAAGCTCTGGGGCGATGGACGACAGGTCCCCGTCTAGCGTTAATAGGCCGTCTTCCACGCACTGTAGGGCGGCAATGGTTGTGAGCAATTTGGTGGCTGAGGCTATGTACAGCACGTCATCGAGCTGTTGTGGTTGCTTCTCGCCTGAGAGTAAGGTGCGCTCTCCGATTGCCTTGTTGTAGAGGAAGTGGCCTTCGGCATCGGTGGCACAGATTACAGCGCCGTTGATCTTGCCGGCGTCGATGGCGGCTTGGAAACTAGTGTCCATGTCTGAGAAAATGATACTGATACAAAGGTTCTACCTGGTTAGGAGGGGGAAGGTGTTAAATAATAAACAAATAGCTATGTGTACAAGAAGTTAGTACTCGGGGTCTCTTTTGGGTTAAGTAAAGTGGGTGCCTGGGCACTGATCGGCCGCTCCGACCGCCATGTTATCTCGGGGTTACTTGTTGTGTTGTCCCGGGGCTTGATTACGTCAAAGTGTGTATAGCCCTAAGTCAGACAGAATAAAAGAGCTCATACTACAAGAAGCAGAGCACTTCGTATTTTTTTAATCTAATGTGGTACTTTTCAACTCTACAGACATCAAAGAGCAATCGCAAGACCCAGGATTCCAGCTGCACCAGTAAGACCCATGAAAACGCCGCCAGTGACAACAGGGGCACCGCCAGTAGAGACTGAACTTGTGCTGGCATCCGAAGATGAAGACAAAGTCCTTGTGACACTAGCTGTATCAGTGGCATACGAGTTGGTGAAGGTGGGCCAGTTTTGGGTGACTGTTTGGGCGTAAGAAACGATCGCAGCCTCTTTTGTGATTTCCCACTGTTGAACGCTCTCAGGGAGGTTGCTGTACCAGGCCGGCATAGTCCCGGCATTTTCTGCAGCTAACACAGAGGACAGGAATGCAAAGTCAGACCTAAGGGAAGAGTCCCAACCTGTCGGCTCAGCGCTACTCAGCGCATCTGCAACCCACGTGGGCACCGAGGCGAGGGATTCGAGAATGGGATCAAGCGTGGGATCGTCGGAGGCAGCAGCCAATGCTGTAGTGGCGAAGAAGATAGCAAACGTCTTGTATTGCATGGCTGTGTGAGGAGCTTGGCATAGGAGGAATGTATATGGAAGGATAATTCAAATAAAGATCAGGGATGGATCGGCTTATGAGTGGATGGGAGAGAAAATGAATCAAAGGCCAAACGACACTAGAGTCTAGACATTGTGTACTAGTAGTGGTAGTTTATCATAGGCCAATAGAGAGGAAAACCAGTGTATTAGTGCTTGAAATTGAGACTAAGCTCTTACTAGTCCTTACTAGGGGCATGTATTGTTCGTTTAATTATCTAGATCAGGAATGCAAGCCCGAGCTTTGAAGCTCGGCTTTAGTGATTCTAGCTCTTTTCATACTTTAATGATCACTTTTCCCGTAAGATTGCAGGCTGTGGCTGACCTACCGGATCTAAGGATTATAACTAGGTTGCGAAGTGGAGATGATACACTACTAGACACAAGGAACGTAACCTCCTTATTTAGTACCTTGTTTTAGTGCCTTTCTAGTAATTCTCTCTCAGAGCTTTACATTTGGATTGTGGATGGAAAACGAGTACAGAAGAACGTAGTAACGTTTGCTCTTATGTCCTTTAGTGCTTCCATCACCTTTTAGACCTAGAAAAGTCGCAATGCCGCTTCGGGCACTGCATTCACTCAGTTCGCGTCATTATTTTGGTTCATAATAGCGAAAGTCTGTCCGTAGCTAACCAATAGTCGTCATCTTGAAGTGAATACGGGATGATGGAGGGTCACTTTAACATACTTCCCTTTCTGAGCGGCTACGGGGTACTAGTAGACGTAAATATGCCCAGGAGACCGTCGCCGCCGTATCGATTACAAGCCTAATCCAAACATCGATATATGCTGGAAAATATAAGGCCAAATATCACCCCCTATGGCTCCCAATGTTCAGATACAACGTACAACATATGGGGTCTGTTTTAGAATTAAGGTTGCGTTATGTGGGTCCGCTAAAAGAATGCCAACCTTGGAAGTGGGCTATTGTCACGTGGTAGCGGATTTATACATCCATATGAAGTCAAGGTATTCACCAGGCAATAATTCGGGTGCTGCAGGGTTAAATATCATAACGAGGTACTACGTCATGGTAGAGTGCATTTCAAGGTTACATCGAGGTTGGGACACTTTCCCCTTACCCCCTTACGACCAAACTCAGCGGCTTGATGGTTAATGACTATGTGCCGCTGGGAATCTATGCTATCCCCGTCCCCATCTTGGGAGCACTTTTATCCCCCTGTTCTAGTACATAATAAGAAAGGTATCCAAAATTGGTCTTGTAAGTATTGATATATATCCACTCAAAAAGTTTGACAGCCAAGATTCATGATTCGTTCTTCAAGGAACTTGCTTCATTGACATAGAACATAGACAGGATATCCTCTCAAGATAGTACTTGTATTTGTTAGTATATTTCTACGTTCCCATGAATGTCATTGGAATTGTTCTCATATTTCCAAAACTTCATAACAGACTGGTCATTAACATGCAAAACCTAACAGGAAATCTATTTTTTGGCGCATATGAAACGGAAGGATCCACGGGTATCTGTATCCACCTAGTCCTCATCCATCGACTCCCAGCCATCACCACCACGAGGCTCACCCTCATCCTCATCCTCACCCTCATCCGAATCAGACTCGTCATTATCAGCACTGATACCAACAGTGCGCTCCTGGACATCACCAGCAAGATCAGGCAGACGAGACACAAACGCACGACGGACAGCGCCGTTAGTCGAAGCATCCCAAATCTGCACATTACCCTTGCTACCAGCAACCGCCAATCGGAAGCTGACCTCCTGGTCGGGTGCGAAGGAAGTAGAGAACACCTTGCCGACCTCAAGCTTGCGCGTGACAATCAGAGTGGGTCTGTCGTTCTCGACACTCCACAGCTTGACGGTCTTATCTGTTGAGCCAGTCACCAGGAAACCGGGGATGTAGCGGTTGATGTCGAATGATGAAACGGAGGAGTCGTGTGCTTGCAGAGACCAGACGGGCTTGGACTCGGCGGGGGTGGTGGGGACATTGCGCATATCGTAACGGTAGACCATGCCGCCGTCGGTGGTCACGTAGAAGAAGTTGGTGTCGTGTGAGTCCCAGCGCACACACTCGACGTCGGCGTCGACGCCCCAGCGGGCTTGGGCATCTGGCGCACGCATATCTGCTGCCACCACGGTGCGGTCGTAACTGCCGCTGAGCAGGATGGTGGACTCGGTAGGGTGCCAGTCTAGTGAGCAGACCTTGTCCTTGTGGTTGGAGTAGGACTTGGCGCAGGTGGCGGTGTTGAGATCCCAGAGCTTGACGGTCTTATCGGCTGAGGCCGAGGCAAGCAGGTTGCGGTGCTGACGGTTGGCGGCCAGCGCCAGGACGGCATCGATGTGGTACTCGTCGTTGGCCTTGGCCTTCTTCTTTTGCTTCTTTTTCATCTTATCGGCGTCCTGGCCACCCTGTCCGAGAATAGCATTGGGGTACATGCAGTCCACAACATCCAGATCCCAGATCTCGATATCGGGCTCCATAGTTCCGATAGCCACGAAGTTTCCTTGTGTCCGACCTTCGGGGTTCTTGCCAACGGGGATATCAAGCCACTCTGTGCAAAGCGGGATGCCGGGCAACATGATGTCGTGGTGCACGTAGAGGTTGTCCGCTTTGTCTTCGTAGACGTAGACCTCCAAGTGCGCAACTTCGTCCTCTACCTTTCCGGCCAATAGAAGGTTGTCGTTGGGCATAATCTGGAGCTCCTCGCGTTCTTCATCATCCTCGTCCTCGGGGATCACAAGGTACGGGTCTTCCTCGTTGGGCTGGTGGTAGGCCAGGGATTGAACATTGCCGAACATGGTGGCCTTCTCTCCGTGCTCATCCTTCTCCTCTTTGTCGTAGTTATCCATGTCGAATTCCTTCAACACATCATCATCACTGTGAACCCGATTAGTACGAGTTGAATCCTCACTGCGCTCAACACAACTCACGCTGAATCGATGCCCTTAGCTTCGGTCTTCTCCTCAGCATCATCAACCATGGCATCGTCACCCTCATCTCCAGATCCTTCCTGGGCAGCATTCATATCGTCCTTGGCATCTTCAAGCTGCATGCGCGCAAGCTTAGATATACGGCCCATCTCGGCCTCGTCAATCTCATATTTGGTAGGGAACTGGGCAGCGACACCGCGCTTCACCCATGTCGTAGTCGTAATCATGGAAGACATTGTGAAAGTGTTGTGACAAAACTGATCACCGTCCACTTTTTTTTATCGGCGATATTTTTTTTATCGGTGTGCCTCGAGGGGCTTTCCGCCCGGCAGAATCAGGCCGATCTCCTTACCGCCCGGACGTTTTGCGGACCCGCGATGTTCGTGCTTTGCGTTGATCGTACGATTGAACTTGCAATTGTCTTTCAAGTTGTTCTGGTTTTCAGTCTAATCACCGCAATCATGCATTCTCACCTCCACACTTCTTACAATGCCAGTATGTCGAGTTCACCTACCTGGAAGATCCATCTAGCCGCCCCATTCCACTTGATAATTGCCGTTACTGACTGATATCACACAGATTGCGAAGAGATCATGACTGCTCTGGATGAGTGTCACGCCAAGGGATTCCTGCACAAAGTCATTGGAAGCTGCAACGATATCAAGCGTGACGTGAACAAATGCCTCTCCGCAGAGCGATACGAGCGGGCAAAGCGCAACCGAGACGATGCGCGCAGCAACCGCCGGCGTGTCGAGGAGATCTGGGCCAAGGAGCGCGAGCTTGATCAAGGGCCTGCTCCGGCTACTGCAGCGGCCAATGTCGCAGCGGCCGCCAGTACTAGTGCTACGAAGCAATAGACTGTGTTGGGAGATGAGCATATGCCATCACGTTTGGGACTGGAGTTTGGAGTGTGCTTCTTATGGCTATTCTTTGATTTGACTGATACCTGAAAAGACAGCACCGCTGCGTGGTATTAGTGGCAGCATTCCGCATGGGCTCTAGATTACAACTCGACTGGGATATATTCTCAGCGGAATGCACGGGGACAAGCAAACCGAGCCCAAACTATCTCCTCTCATTTATGGGGAAGAAGACTTGTACGATATCTGAACATGTAAATATACATATAGCCAACTGGCTTTCGCTCTGTCTTCTGTCCCGTTTTATTTGGCACCTATGCCATACATGCCATACACTTAATCTACGATATACTGGGGATTATAGGATCTCTTGAATGATATCAGATGTACATTACTATTATGTACATCAGCTGAACTTTTAGATATAACCCATCCGATCTGAACGCCGCACCCTAGGAGTGAAATAAGGTTGAGAATGCATGCAATGATAACCAGCATCATGAGTCGCCTATGCCGTAAAGATTCAATCAAGCGTCAACCTCCATGGCCTCGTTAGGCTCGGCGGTCTCCTCGTAGTCTTCACGAGGACCCTTAGCATGACGACGCTTCCTCTTAGGCTTGGGCGCAGCAGACTCATCGCCATCATTTTGCTCAGTAGCATCCGCAACAACCTCCTTCGGGGCATCCTTATTCTTCTTCGGTGCAGGCGCATCAGTCTTCTTCTTAGCCTTTTTCACACTGAGAGGATTAGGCGCCTTGACCTTAGGACCGCGCTTCTTCTTGGGTTCCTCCTCATCAGCACTCTCACCATCAGCCTCGCCGTCTCTCTTGCGCTTGCCCAACATGGGATCAACATCCAATCCAGCGCGGAACTTGCCACGCTCATGACCATCCCGCACCATCTCGGACGGGCTGCTCATGGGCTCGAGGACCATCACCGAGCGCTTGACGTAGATGATAGGCACACCGGGAATAGAGCGGGCACCGGAGCGCAATGCGCGAGAACGGCGCATAGCTTCCTCTTCTTTACGATCCTCCTCTGTCTTCCGTCTGCGGGGCTGGTTCTCGCTATTGTTTGTCTTTCTCAAGATTGGATCCGCGCACGCGAGAATGTAGTGCTCCTTATTCTTCTTTGAGTCTGCGTTGGGTGAAAGCAGCGAGAGGAGGCACTCGATTTCGTCGATAGGCGTGGAGTCCGCGTTGTGCGAGCAGTGGCGGAGCGGGAGTTCTGTGGGAGGGGGAAGGAAGAGAGGTCGGTATGGCTTTTCGGTTTTGGGATTGATGGGTTGTGCGGCCATGATAGCGGCGAGCGAGCACTTTGTCAATACTGCGAGATGGTTAGTTGGGATGTGTCTTGGCGGGAACTTTTGGTGTTCGGTGCGACTCACGAGGCTTGACCTTGCCTTGGACTGTTCGCTCAAGTGCAGGAATTAGCTCCATCTTGAAAGAGTCGGTGGCGCGAAGGAAATTCGAGTCAACTGTTTGAGCGCAAGTCAGTACTGGACATCGGACATTAGAGCAATGCATTGAATGGAACATACCCAGGACCTGGTAGGCCTCTCGGAAACCGAAAGTGAGCTCATACTGGTGCATAAGCTTGCGATACTTCTTTGAACGTTTGGCCCTCATTGTGAATGATGAATGTCAAGTATTTGAGGATTGAATGCAGCAAAAGTCATGAGCTTCTAAGTCGACCGAAACTTTTTTCATTCTGCCGGGCGGAAGCGGCGGTGGTATGGTCTGTGCTGAGGATGAGGTACCCAGTACTTTGTCCAAGTGGGGCATCTAGCCTTGAGATTAAGTACCCTATACTTTGCATTTGCTGATCTCCACAGACTTGAAATGAGAAATAAAACAGCATACGATGTATTGAGTCAAAGAGATATTATTATTTGTTCTGTTTAGATCGAAGATGATTATTAAACGATGGACAGACAAGCCACATCGCGCCAGTAATGGAATCTATCATAGGTGAATGCATAAGGGAAGGGGTCTCAAATGTGGTAAAGGAGATATTTGCTATAGGTAGGATCACCAGTTTAACAGGGTGGCATCAGGTCTTCGGGGTGTTGGCAAACCCCCGATGCACAGTCTCCGCTGGCCATATAGTTGTCTGAGCCGATGAAAGATACCAACGGATGGGAATATGATGACTAGGCGAGGCTAAGCAATCAAGCCTCACGCTGGAAGACTGGGGGATATGAGTTCCCGGGGATGAGTGTTTGACTGCAGTGCATGTCTGAGTCCTGATTCAACACTTGCAAGGCATAATAGCTGCACAATAGCAAGGTGGTTGGACAAGCTTTTGGCGGTATGTATGAGCATCTAGCATTGATGCTAGGGGAAATGAAAGCCTGCCTTGCGGTCCGAGGTGTGGTATCAATGAAAACTGGCGCATGTCCGAGGGTAGCGTGGAATTCAAGATCCGGTGGAAATTTGTGAAAGAAAGTCTCGTAAAACCGATAGCTGCCTCTCATCCATCGCTTTTCTTGCAGGATGCGACGACGACGGAGATATCGTCCATTTTGCCTCCTTCAATAGCCAGACCCTCTTCCACAGCCTTCTCCATGAAGGGACTCTCTGCAAAGGGATCCTGGGCAATCGTCAGAGCAGCATTAAGCAGTTCCCGGGCGACATAGACATTGCGGTCATCAGCCAGATGAGGGTGCCGCGCAGCATCCTTCGGAGCCACGCGCCCTTCCTCCCATGTGCCAATACTATCCATAACGACTTTCAGGACCTCATGTTCCCAGAGGTTATCCATGACGCCATCCGAGAGCGCGAGGACGACGTCGTCTTCCTGCACCGCAATCTTAGACAAAACTGCATCTTTCCGGGGTGTGTCGATACTGTTTGTGCCAAGCTGCATGGGACAATCGAACCAATGCCACTGCTCCGCAGTGCGGAAAAGGACTTTGTTCTCGCTCGGTCGAATTACGAGGATCTTACAATCGCCCAGGTTTGTAACGTACAGCAATGGCTTCTGCGTGCCGTCATTCTCCTTGGTCCAGTGTAGTATGGCAGTGGCGGAGGTCGTGGTGCCGAGCCACTCGGTAGGAGACGTGGTTGCTTGCAGGGTCTCCTCGTATGCATACTGCAGGTATCCAACCGGGTCGAGGGTGGGCATGCGGTGGTCGACGTGCTTTTCGACCTCGAGGGCCCAGAAATGTAATAGGAGTCTAGACCAGAGTCTGTATGAGAAATGAAAAAGTCAGCGATCGTGCGCATAGGATACAAATTGAGACGAGAGAACTCACGCAGCATGACCACGAGGTTTCGTAGCCCAGGCGCCTACGCCATCGTCGACGCCTATGAAGTTCTCCGCAACGATGATCGCATCGTCTCCATTATTCAAGCCACGGACTAGCTCGCCCTTGACGGATAATCTCTTATCCTGGCTAAGTCCGTGTGTCGTCAAAGGATCCGAGAAGGATGAAGAGGGTGGGGACAGAAAAGGTGGAGGGAAGGGTCGTGAGGGTCGTTTGGCACATAAAGCGTAGCCAGTGTCGAATCGAAAGGGCGATTTGGGGGAACCGAATGGCTGATCAGGGACGGGAGTGGTGATGCCGTAGGAGGGCCACACTGCCGCGTGATATGGCCGTGCCGTGCTCGGTTGTCGGAGGCGGGCAATCTGGATCGGGGTCTGATTTATGCTTATGTTCGCGATCCACTTGCTAATGGACGTCCATGATGATGATAATGAATGTGACACTGCCTTGGTCACCATCCCTACCTTGGCTCTCTGTGCGCCAAGATGGGCTCAGCGAATTTCTGGGGCATTAAGGCATGAAAAGTGAAAAATGAAGAGATAGAACAGCAGAAGACAGCAGAAAACGATTGTTGACTCAGACCTGAACTTGGAGGCACAGAGAAGAAAAATGCGACTCACCGGTGAAGGCCGAGAATGTCTCGAAGATATCACTGGTCTGCGCCGCCGACTGTACCTTACACTACGGAGTATCTCTGAGAATATGAAAATCGTGAAATTTCGGCATTCTTGATATTTATTTTGTTACTTATTTCTTTATTTCTGTTAAATTTGTTAGATTTGTCCATCTATCTTTTTTTTATTTTATAAAAAGAGCAGTCGATACAAAACCCCTGCGACTCTTAGGGCTACCTACGTTTACTTATCTATATCCCTGCCGATTCAATGAGCCTCTTCTCTATATCGCCGATATTTCCCTCTGAATGACAGCTCATCATTTCACTTTATTTACACATATGTTCCAGAAGAAAAATGAGAGTGTTTAAAATCTACCCAGTAGAACACTTCCGAAGACAATACCCAGCCAAGTCAACGAGATGCAATATATCCTCAAAATGGACTACAAAACCGACTCGTTAGCAAGGAGTCCAAAGACTAGGATTTGACCTATATGTTCACCATGGTCAACGGGGAAGAAGTGAAAACAATACTAGCCAGCCTGGCACCAATCGCCGAGCTCGCCGAAACTGGGGAATACTTCAAAATACCCGAAGATACCGGCGAAGATGATCTCCTTATCAATGCTGGGGTTGGGATTTCAAGAAACCGGGTGATCCAAATTGTATCACTTATGATTTTCTGGAGGTGCAGCCGTCTGTTCTGCTGTTGCTGAGGTTGGATAGTATGGGATGGACGAGTCTGTACGGAACATTAGGTATCATCTGGGGTTGAATTATTCCATTTCGAGACTCGATATGTAGACCTCTCGTGGTGGCTTCATCAAATAAATGACATGGCTCATGATCAGTATTCAATATCTGTCAAATGATGTTATTCACCCTTTGGGTTCCTCCCATTATTTCCCTTCGATGATTTCTCCTCGATCACTTGCCCGGAATTGACTGACCTTTCCTCCTTTTCGTTTTCGCTTTCTTTGGTCGTTTTCGTTTTCCTTTTTCTCTCCCTTTTTTTTGTTTTTGTTTTGGATGATGTCCATCAAACTTGGATGTACAGAATGTCCACTCTGGGAATCCTTGATCCATTTGAATTATGATTGTAGTTCATGAACCGAACTGGGAATTGCAAATCATAAATCGTAGTCGTAGTTGTAGTCGTAATCGTAAGTCGTGGTCGAAGTCACAGGACTGCGATCTTAGAGGCTGGCCTGAGACTCTTCCCGGAGAGCCATATCTCTTTCCGTGGAGATCAACAGAGAAAATAGTTCGAAAGCTTGGTCCAACTCAATGGTAATATCAGCAGTCTCAGCATCACGTCTGAGCTCAGACAAACCATGAAAGAACATGCGAGCAGTGGTGGTAGCAGTAGCAGCGAAAGTAGGTCCATTGCGTCTGTGGGCAAGACCACGCTTGGTCGCCATGATGCGTACATGTCGCTCCGCACAGCGACAGGCGCGCTCCACCTCTTCGGTACACTGTGAGGAACATGAACAAATGGAGTTGCAAATGCATTTTTGTTGCCTAATCAGGTGGTAAAGGCCAGGGGCGGACTCCTTCTTGCGTTCTTCTCCGATGGTTGTGCCCATTTTCTGGGCGATATGAGCCAAGCGGTAATCCCTCACAATGTTTGTGTCCCAGACAGCCATACCCACATTCTCTGGGAGAATCCAGGGAAGCCCCTCAAATGGAATGTCGTCAGGTGGCATAGTCACTGGAGTCATGGTGAGATACTTCTCCGACATTGTTGTCATGGTCTCTGCTGGGATGAAATTGAAGAATGGAATGACTTCTTTCCATTTCTCGCCGTAAGATCCGTGTCGGTAAGAGACAGTTTTCATCGCAAACGGGCGATATCCGAGGGGGTCAAAGCAGGGGGCCTCTGGCTTGTTTTTCTTTGTGATGACCTGATCGAGGTATCCTTGCTGGAAGTGGGCAATGACGTCTTTTCGAAGGATTGCGCAAATCTCTGGAGAGTCCAGCACGTCCTTGAACGCGAGAACGATGCGGTAGAGATGATCTGCCTCTGGCATGAGGAATGGAAGCTCGATTCGCAATGCACTAGTGTCGACTCGGTAGGAACCGCAAAGCTCAATGCTGGCCAGCTCAATGGTAACCCGGGCATAGAGGGTATAATAGAGGTTCTCGACAGTGTCAATCAGCACGGCCATCTTCTGGGTGCGCACGTTCTGCTCGCTGCGTTTGATCCAGTATGGTAGACCGGTCTCGGATTCGTCGTTCTAAGAGCAGAATATCGGTGTTAGTGGTTGTATCGAAGCAGCAAGAGATGGAAGGATGAGAAAAGAGTAAAGTTGTGAGCTCAAGCATACCTCAGCGCCGTAGTACAAGATGATTATCTCCATGATCTTTGACATAGTGTACAATTTGCCAAAGATGCGCACGATGACACCGAGGTGAATGGATTCCTCAACAGGGTCCATGTTCTCGGGGGCCACAACCTTAGTTGGAGTCGTGGGGGAGGGCATAGATGGAACCATGACCCATTCATCGCTGCTCACAGTGTAGAGACGGAGGCAGCCCCGGCCGCTAGATGCGAGCTATCACAGGTCAGGGTCCGCTCTTTCAAAAGTGAAACTAATGTATGGAGCCAAGTCACTTACCAATGCCTCAGAAAATCCTGATCTGCCAGATGAGCTAGATTGCAAGGGCATTTTTGGCTCAGAACCAGTCGTGTTTGAAGTGGACGAGATGAGCGAAGGCATGGTCGAATTGCTGGAAACTTCAACCCGCCGGGGGTTGTTGGCAGTATGAGAAAGCAGGGACAATGCTTCCTCCACAATTGACTGGCAGTATCTGAAGAAACGTTCCTTCAACTGTTCGATCTCTTCATATGGAGGGTCCTCTCCATCCTTGACACGCGCACAGGCATTCTCCATCATGGCCTTGGTGGCCTGGGCATAAGCATCAATACAGTCATTACCCCGTTGGAAAAATAAATCGACGTCCTCTCCTGATTGCAGAGCATTCAGGCGAGCCTGAGAAATGGTCGAAGCCATTGTCACAGGGTCAAGATTGGAATCGGACGCCACAGTTGGTAGAGGAGTTGGGGGGAACATGGTCATGACTGTTGGTAGAGGAATTGGGAGCATGGATTCAGAATACAGGCTGGAACTGTTTGACACAGGACGCTTGTAAACAAGTAGGGTAGTCTCATGGGGGATCTCTGGTTCACGTGGTTGCGTCTTTCGTAGTTTGGAGAGAGAAGCTCCCCATAGACCTTTCTTAGGAGCCATAGTGTCGTTTGAGCATTCACAACGTTGGAGTACCGCAAAGAAAAGAAATGATTGAAAGAAAGAAGAAGAAACGATAAACTTGGTATTTATATTTGTTAGACTACATAGTATTTCAGCTTATTACGTCCATCCACTCTCGGCGTCCAACTGAGGTATAAAGAGCTTCATGGCAGGTGCGAGGCAGAAGGGATGGTTTCGCTCCTTCCATATCATGTGCCAATACATACCTACATGTAGGTAGGCGCACTGAAGCGGCTGGGAATTTGCTTCGCGTGATTGGCCTAGAGAAGAACAATGAATAGACATTAATAACATGGACATGAAAAACTCCGCACCTCTACCACCTCTACCCGAGTAGGCGGGTGAAATGATCCGCTAGTTCAGTCCTACACCTATAATATTGCTTGATTAGTTAAGGCATGGCTATACCTAGGTACCTCCAGGGCTACATATATAGGAATTGAAACTATAATAGGATAACATGAACGAAATTAGGGGATAGCTTGTAAGCTTTATATATGATTTAATTGCTCCGCTTCGCTCCGCAGTTATGCTTAGTCTACCTATGTAACTATAGAATTCTTTGCTATAAGGTACTATAAGTTATGTGCTTTATGATATTCCTTATCAATAATACTATATAGTAGGTTATATTATGTTTCCTACGTATGTTCTAAGGTTACAAATTTAAGCGGCTGGTGATCTCCTTTGCGTACTTGGAGGGCGTAAACGGATTAAAAAGAGATTATATGTGAGTAAATTGAAGCAGCTGGGAATCCTTTGGCGTGGTTGACAAGGCGCAAATAGAGAAAAGAAATTCAGGGATGTCAGGTGGATAGATCCTCAAATAGGTATGTCCAATGTTTGAATATATCAAAGCTTTGCTCAGAAACTATTTAGCTTATCAACCATAGTCTTTAAAAGGCTTAGCCTCAACTACATTGTATCATTTGCTATGGCCTCGAGTGATTTGCTTCAACTCTCGAGTGATGCTACTGTAAATAATATGTCTATAGTTCAAGAGGTCTAGCGATTGAGAAGTAGGGATGTATGGCTCGGTTGCTTAAGCTAGGTTGAAGGTTTAACACTACAATGTGCTGCTAGGTAGCATCTGAACAAAGAAAATGTGTATAAACAATAGACTCGAATTGGCTGATACAAACAAAGAAATTTCGAAGCTCTAACCCTGCACTCGGAACGTGCGACCACTAGCAGTCTTGCGCTCACGTTCTTCATTTTCCGGTCGAGCTCGGTTAAGCACTGTTGTGGGTTAGCGGTAAATATGCTTTCTTTGATTGGATGATACGTACCCTGAAGGAAGTCTGCTGTTCTCTTCCTCATTCGAGTGTGGATGTAGGCCTGCGAGAAATGGTTAATCATCAATTACAATCTAAACAAGACCGAGAGAGACCGCATACCTTTGAGGCTTTGATGTGGTAGTGGAAATAATCACGGAAGGTCTGGATGTGAGAAATGTTTTCATAACGACGCTGCGGGGTCAGGTGTCGAGGGAACAGAACTGCAAGCCGAGTCAGTACTAAAATGGAGATCGAGGGCACATCGTGCATTCATACCAAAGGTGACATAGCTAACTTCGCCTCCAGTGGCATTCAAACCAGGCACATTTGCTAGCTCAAGGGGAGGGTCGTTACGGAACAGGACTTGAGGGGCATTCTGAAGCGTCAAGACACGTCGCCGGGCGTCGACGAATTCCTATATTCTGTTAGTAAGAGTCCCTCACGAATCCATAGACCAATTGTGGCAATTTACGAACCTGTAGGAAGACCTTGCCAAAGATCCGGTCTGTCTCTTCGCGGAACACGGTGCTGAAGATCACTGTGACTCGGTCCCAGTTGGCTTTGATATAGATGGCCTCCTCTTCGCGATAGTGAATCGCCATAACTTCACCGCCCTCCTGGATACCCTGTGGCGCTGACTCTGAGGTGTATCTGGAAGCCTCCTCGGCAAGCTTGTTGAATTCGTCGAATGCTTTCTCGAAAGGAGCAGCCATTGCGTTCCGTTTCAGGAGAGCAAGCTTCATAATCAGGTCATTCCGGGCCTCCTCCTCCGCGGGCAGGTTTTCGAGATCGATTTGTACAGAAAAGTCATAGCCCGGCTCCGGAGACACAATGTATGGACCGTATTCTCTCTCCAACACCTCCTGGGCTCCGTACTGAACCAGTTCCTTGTAGCATTTCACATTGATCGAGATGAGGATCTTGGTCTTAGACTCGGGAGTTGAGAGGTGGAATGTCACGCCGTCGAAGTCGGAGACCACTTGGTCAATGGAGACGGGGGTTGCTCTGAGTTCAGCTTGTTAGCCGGATGCCTGATTCGGGGTGATGTGTATAGAATGCGCGGGGTCGCAGTGCTGGGGAGGAACAAAACATACCCAGAAAAGCGCTCCGTCAGGAGCGACTGGATCAAAGCATTCTGGTAATCTAAGAGAAGCATGACGGGCAGGACAATGGCTGGTATTCACAATGCAGTTGGATGGCTGTTGTGAGGTTGCCCGTGATCGTCATGGGCGGTGGGGGGGAGCCGGAGAGGTCGCTGTCGCCGCCCGTATTAATTTTATCCTATCGATAGCAATCGGAGATTCCAAAAATTTTCCCATCCACCCTCAACGATGGTGAAATCATACTTGTACGTGCGATTTTTTGTGATTTGGAACCCTCTGATCTAAGCGCTAACCTTTATACAGTAAATTCGAGCATTCGAATACATTCGGGCTCGTCGCCTCGGCGTCTTCGAATGCGGTTTGGGCCAAAGATGACCAGATCGGCGTTGCACGCCAGACTGGCGCCGGAAGAGCCATTGTCGGCGCAGGTGAGGAAGTTCTGTGCTGGGATGTGAAGAAGGGAGAACTTCTTGGAAGATGGCGCGATTCTGCCTGCAGAGCGCAGGTCAGTGTGGTCACTCAGAGCATGACAGATGAAGATATCTTCGCAGTTGGGTGAGTGTTCTCCGGTGTGTCCTAGTCGAATGAGTTTTCTCTAACTATAATATCCCTTCTCAGCTACGAGGATGGAAGTATTCGCCTTTGGGATTCGCGCACAGCCACCGTTATTATTTCTTTCAACGGTCATAAATCTGCCGTCACCAAACTGGCCTTCGACAACGCAGGCGTGCGCCTCGCCAGTGGTTCGAAAGATACCGATATCATCGTCTGGGATTTGATCACTGAGACCGGTCTTTTCAGACTTCGCGGACACACCGATCAGATCACATCGCTACATTTCCTATTCCCTTCGCCCGAATTGCTCACTGCTTCCGGATTGAGTGAACACTCGGGATTCCTATTGACCACCGGAAAGGATGCATTGATCAAAGTCTGGGATCTGGCCTCTCAGCACTGCATTGAAACACATGTGGCACAATCAAATGGCGAGTGCTGGAGCTTGGGTCTTTCACCCGACCAGGGCGGATGTATTACAGCCGGCAATGATGGTGAACTTCGGGTCTGGTCGATTGACGAGGCGGCTATGATGGAGATTTCCAGGGAGAAGGTGGGCGCGGATGGTCGCCGAATTCTCACAGAACGAGGAACTTTCTACCGACATGGCAAGGACCGCACAATCGGCATCCGATTCCACCCCCGCTCAGACTATGTTGCATTCCACGGTTCCGACAAGTCGGTCGAGGTTTGGCGCATTCGCTCTCAGTCCGAGGTACAAAAGAGTATGGCCCGTAAGAAGAAGAGAAGAAAGGAGAAGGAGGCTCGCACCGAGGAAAACGGACCGGAAGAGGATAACGACAAGCCCGAAGATGTATCCGCCGCTCCTATATCGGAAGTCTTCGTCCAACATGTTATCGTGCGAACTGGTGGAAAGGTTCGTTCCTTTGACTGGATGACCAACAAGTCAAGTGGATTGAACCTCCTGGCCGCAACAACAAACAACCAGCTTGAGGCCTACAATATTGTGCCAGCAAACAAGAAGAACGTCGACAGCGAGGATCCCGACTACACTAGGAGCTTGGCAGTGGACATTCCTGGTCATCGAACAGATATCCGGTCGATTGCATTGAGCTCCGACGACCGAATGCTTGCCTCTGCTTCGAATGGCACCCTCAAGATTTGGAACGTTCGCACCGAAAGTTGTCTACGAACACTCGAGTGTGGATATTCCCTGTGTTCCGCATTCCTTCCTGGTGATAAGATTGTGGTTGTTGGTAACAAGAACGGAGAACTCGAGGTGTTTGATATTGCATCCTCAACCTTGCTCGACACTATCAAAGCCCACGACGGACCCGTGTGGTCACTCCAGGTGCACCCAGATGGCAAGTCTATGGTCAGTGGAAGCGCAGACAAGACAGCCAAGTTCTGGAACTTCCAGGTTGTCCAGGAGGAAATCCCGGGAACCAAACGTACCACTCCCCGCCTCAAGCTGGTACACACAAGAACCCTGAAAGTCAACGATGATATCCTCAACCTTCGCTTCTCTCCGGATTCTCGACTTCTGGCTGTTTCTCTCTTAGACAACACCGTGAAGGTCTTCTTCGTCGACTCGCTGAAGCTATTCCTCAACCTTTACGGACACAAGCTTCCTGTTTTGAGCATGGATATTTCCCACGACAGCAAACTAATTGTCACTTGCTCGGCTGATAAGACCGTTCGTCTCTGGGGATTGGACTTTGGTGACTGTCACAAGGCCTTCTTGGCTCACGAGGACAGTATCATGGCAGTGGCATTCGTTCCTCACAACAAGGATGGAAACGGCCACAACTTCTTCAGTGCAAGCAAGGACCGTAACATCAAATACTGGGATGGTGACAAGTTCGAGCAAATCCAGCGTCTCGTTGGTCACCACGGTGAGATCTGGGCACTCGCCATGAGTCACACTGGTGACTTCATTGTCAGTGCTAGTCACGACAAGAGTATCCGCATCTGGCAACAAACAGACGAGCCGTTGTTCCTAGAGGAAGAGCGTGAGAAGGAGATGGAAGAGGCTTACGACAGCACCCTCACCGCATCTCTTGAGCAGGAGGAGGACGGTGAA